TTTATCCTGTAGGCATTGGGGAGCTGTTAAAAATGAGTCCATTTACCTGAGAAATATAGTAGAAAACTAATAGAATTTAATCCTCTATTGTATTATTATTTTTTTTTTTTACAAAACAAACCACAGGAAGATACAACAAAGCAAAGACATAAATGGAAGAGGAAAAATACTTGGATTGGGAAAGCCAGAAACAAATTGGCATGTAAAATAGTTTCCATATCATGATTTTGTGATATCTTTCTGGGACATAGTAAATTAAAAACAACAACAACAGTAACACACAGTTGATTTGATTTCACTGTAAAAAAGTTCTAAGATCCTGGAACTTGAGAACAGTTGGGAATGTTTTCCAAAGTGAAAAAACCAAAACCAAAAAACTGTTGAAAGAGTTCCACATTGACCTTGCCTAATCTAGGTCACATTCTAGAGTTATTATTCAGTTGGCCAATGTCATAATCGGGTCATTGCTGTTTATATGGTACATATATATATTTTAATGGCCCTTGAATCGATTATTCATTGGTTGGGAATAACCTTATTAGTAGGGAACAACCTTGGGAACTATCAAGATGTCAGATAATCTTAAGTCGGAATTATTAAAATATTAGTTTATCAGCACTCAGAAGAGGACAGCATACTGGGTAATCATGAGTCTGTGACATACATTTCCTGTCATATTAATCTGATTTCATTCTGGGAGAGACTAAGACAATTGATGTTAACTGTTGTGTTGTCTGCAGATACTATCTGGCATGGCATTGCCTTAAGAATGATAAAAACACTAGGTTACCCAATGATTAGGTGAAGAACTAGTCGTAGAATTGTATCTCAAGAGGAAAGTATCAGTAGTTCATTGCCAACCTTTGCACTGAGATAGCACTTAAATGATATCTGAAGTCTCTGTCTGCATCAAGTGTGTAATATTAAGTGTCATATATTAAGCATTTCATCATCATTCTGCATATTGAAATGAAGAGCTTGCTCAATAAATATTTGGGCAACACCAAGTAACAAGGGCAGGGTTAGTATTTCAGAATGTTGGAGATCTTGTCAGAAACAAACTAATTGAAGTTTGTTAGTATATTTGTTCTCTATTATTAATGTGACAAATTGCCACAAATTTAGTGGCTTAAAACAGCATAGATTTATTACTGCACAGTTCTGTAGTTCACAAATCCAGCACCGGTCTTAGTAGGCTAAATTCAAGCTGTGGCAGGACTGGGGGTTTTCTGGAGGCTCTAGGAGAGAATCCATCTACTTTTGCAGCTTCTAAAAATTGAGTGAATTCCTTGGCTTGTGCCACCCATCCTTCATCTTCAAAGCTTGCAATATAGCATCTCTCTGCTTCTGTTGTCACACCTCTTTCTTTGACACACTTTTCTGCCTCCCTTTTCAACTGCTCAAGACCCTTTTGATACATTGGACCCACCAGACGTCCAGGATAATCTCCCCAACTAAAAACCCTACTTTCATCACATCTACTAAATCCCTTTTGACATGTAAGGTAGCATAGCCACAGGCTTTGGGGATTAGGATGGGCATCATTGGGCACTATTATTCTGCCTACCACAGATAGGTTCAGGTACAACTCAGTTTCTAAAAAATATACAGAAGCGGCTCTAGTGAACTCTTTCTTTTTTTTAAATGAGCATTGTGACCTTTTGATTCAGCGGATCTGTTTGGGTTGGAAAAATTTGTTGACTAACATAAAAAAAAGAAAAACTGCTGGTAAGTGACAAAAGAGAAAGTTGATGTAAAGAAAAGGCATACTTTTAGAATGAATTAGTAGTATAAGACACTTATCATAATTAAAAGTTTTTATTAAGTGTGTGTATCGCTTTGCTGGGAGCTGTGCTAGTCTTAGGCAAAACCCCACAATTCATCTCATGAAGAAACTTCTAATGTGATAGTAGAAGCTTATCCTTCTGATAAGGTATTCTTCTGATATGCTTAGCATGGGCTACATCTTTACAAAAATACTGGATCTTGTTTCAGGGCTTTAAACTTTAGAAGGATTTGGAGATTTTGAGGAAATTTTAAATGATGATAGCTAATATTTCTTGAAAACCTGTTGTGTGTCCAGGTATTATTTTAAATGCTTTACAGTCAGTGTATCATTTATTTCTACAAAATAGGTAGTTGCATTCCTGGGAGTTGGGACTATCAATTGTAAGGGACAAAAGAAAGAAAATTGGGAGAGGATGTTGGCTTGTGTCTAAATTGCTGAAGGCGATAGCCAGAGCTAACTTCATAGAGGGTTGGAAACTTGGGGCTTGAATGATATCAAGACACTCTTCCCTCTTCTTTTCTACTTGTGTTTGTGGGCTGATTTCATTCTTGCTAAAGAATCTGTACTCAGAATGTAAATTCTGTCCTTAGAGGTGGATTCCTAGTAACAAATGCATAGTAGGTGTTTGTTTGATATGTGTTGAATAAATGATCTCCTTTTCTGCAGAACAGGGTGAGCTGGGGGCAGGTCTAGGGTGAGGGTGCTGTCCAGCCTTATTACTCATTGTTTAGAAAACAGTGGAAATGGCTGTTCCTCACCAGTTCTATTTTAATGAATCCTGGTGAAGGACTCTGGCTACTTTAGGCAATCTCTATTACTAGGGGATTTTTGATTGGCAGCCTCCACAAGAACCACATGTTTGAAGGAGCCCTTCCCAGAACAAGAGGTGCTGCTCTGTGTAAACAACACAAAGGGCCACAGGAGTTCATCTTAACAGATGTAAAAATAGAGAGACTCCGAAAGGTACAGATTGACCAAGGTTACAGGTAGGAACTGGTAAAGCCCAGATTCAAACATGATTTTAATTGACTCTTTGACTTGTGTTCTTTCCACTTTGCTACCACATCACATCAATCACAGGAGCTCAGTGAGGTGAAGGTTGGAAAGGAAATAGGGTAGCATGGCAGGAGCCAGAAAAGAATTGTTTTCCTTTATGAGTTATTTTGGAAAGACAAATGCAAAGAATGAAACATTTTAGGTTATTGATCATTTAAACAAAAGTTTTCCTTTTTTTCTGTGGTATTTTCCACTATTTAAAAATACGTGTTTGTGTGTGTATGTGTGAATAAATCTCAGAAACTGTCCTCAGGAACCACTGAATGTAAATTAGATTGTGCATGTTTGCAAACACCCTTGACTAATTATAATCATATTTGCTAAGTGGTACAAATAAGAGCGAACTTTATTAAGAAGTAATTTTTCATGAGCCAACTCAGTTTTCTTTGAAGAAAGGCATATAAATGCTAATATTGCTACCATATTTGGCTTATTGCAAAAGAAACAGTACATTTAGTAACTGAGATTGGAAAGATACTTTCTAATGTTGCCAGATACAGAGTACCGTCTGTGATGTCTTCTAGGAATATATTTAATACATGTGTTTTATAGAACAGAGCCTAGAGTCTATCTTCTGTAACATGTGAAAGACATTAATCTCTATTTAGTAATACACCAAATGTACTAGCTAGAAAAAAATGGTCTCAGCTTTTAAAAAACCAGTCTTCATGAGTCTTATACATAGTAGATATTAATTCTATTAGTCTGACAAAACTGAAACACTAAAGGAAGTGAAATTAATTTTAAGTGCAGGTATACGGGGGATAAATGGTGATAAAAAATAAATTAAAATAAAGAAAAATGAGCCTAATTAGATAAAATTTTGTGTTTTGGGCATGTTATATATTTTTTAAAAAACAACTAATTCTCCACTCCCTTTTAAAAGATTCTTTCAGTGGCTCAGTGGTTGTCAGCCTTTTTTTACCTTCACATCACTAAGGAGTAAGAGTAAGAGGAGTTTGTATGGTGGGAAGAGTTGATTTTATTATCATTACTATGACATTGTTTCTGTTTTCATATTTTTGTTTCTTTATTCTAACCAGGTTTTAAAAGTTTGGTCACTTGGAGCCTAATTATAACATAAACTAAAAACATTTAAAAGTAAATTTAATCATTGAACTTATAATTATTTTTTCTTGACTATATTTTTAGTTTTCTAGAATTTTTTTTTTTTAATATATCTTTATTGATTTCAGAGAGAGGAAAGGAGAGGCAGAGAGAGAGATAGAAACATCAGTGATGAGAGAGTCATTGACCGGCTGCCTTCTGCATGCCCCTGACTGGGGATCGAGCCCACAACCCGGGCATGTGCCCTGACTGGAAATCAAACCCCAATTACCTGGATCCCAGGTCGATGCTCAACCACTGAGCCACGGCCGGCCGGGCAGTTTTCTAGAAATTTTGCAGACAATTCTTTGCTGGACAATTTTGCGAGTAAATGAAATTGCCTGTTTCTTTTTGATATGGTACTGTATTATTTAGAGCTGCAAAACCTACAAAAAATTGCTTTTTTTTTTTTTTTTAGTATTTCAGTTTTCCCTGAAAATGTCCTTGTTTCTCTATACTAGCTTTCTTTCTAGAAATCTCTAGTTGGTGGAATTATTTCATTTCAGCATCATTGTTACTTACCCCAATTAATCTGAACCCTTAGATTTGCTAGTGTCATATTAAGCGACTAGCTAACCATTCTGGGCCCTCTGTGTCTACATAAGGCTTCCTGAGAGATCTGTGCCCTGAATGGATACCAGTGACAAAGATGGTCTATATGCTTGTCTACAGAGGAACTGGAGATCCACTCTAAGGTTTAGGAATGTGAGGAAGGGGTTAATTGTAGCTTTTGGCACCAGTTTACCCTTATGCTCTTACATACATAAATCTAGTTAGTACCAGGTCTAGTGGCTGAGTTTATCCCAAGCCTGTCACTATCACCAGGCTTATGACTTTGGGTGGAGGGTCACTTTCTAGACTCCTGAGTTAGATGTTCCTCCTTTATGCTCCCATAGAAACCCTACCTCCATATCATATCCCCATACCGTACTGTAAATTTCCGTTTGACTATAATCAGATGATTGAGTTTCCACAAAAGTCTGACCATGTAAGTTTCAGAATGTCTAGTTGAGGAAATCTAAACAACGTATTATTTTCTTTTTTGAAGAGAGATCATCATTCAGGTCATCATGATCTAAGGCCAAAAAACAAAACAAACAAAAACTTGCTTGGATTGACTGAATACAATTCTTAAAAGTAAATATGGAAAATGAACCAGACCATGAAAATGTGGAACAGAGTCTCTGTGCCAAGACTACTGAAGAAGAACTGAATAAATCCTTCAATCTAGAAGCTTCGCTTTCCAAATTCTCTTACATAGATCTGGATAAGGAACTGGAGTTCAAAAATGATCTGGTAAAAATTCAACTTTTGTTAAGTGATGATGTTTAGCCAAAATGTTGATTAGAGTGTACTTTATGACTCAAAGACTCTAAATCTATCATTTTTGCATGGGTTAATAAGAGTCTTCCTATAGTGTTATGAGATAATATCACTCTTCATTTGTACAGTTCAGCGATTTTCAACCCATGTGCTATAAGAATTTTTAAAACGTTCAGTACCTTACTGTTTAGTCAGGGGCACTGACTTCTTTTCCCTTAGATTGTCAAATAAAAAAATGACAACAGCCAACACAACAATAGCTGTCCAGTGTGAATGAATCAAAATTATACCTATTTTTTTTGTCAGATCAGCAAAAAGTATATTTTTTGGTGTGCTGTAGAATTTTAGTAGTTTATGTGTGCCATGAGATGAAAAAGGTTGAAAATCGCTGGTATAGTTCATTTTAGTTTATGAAACACTATAATACATGTTCTCATTTGAGCTTCACTATACTCTGGTAATCCATTTATGAAGGAAGAAACTGAAATGCAGCTATATTAAATGACTTAAGAGCATAGAACTAGTGATAGATTTAGAATTCTTACATAGTGATTTTCCCCTCATTGATTTGTTTTTTGTGTCCATGAGAATATTTAATAAGTTGTTTAACCTAATTATTCTCAACATAATTTATGAAATAACTAAGAAATGCAATGTCAAACCTTTGTCTATTGCTTATATGACTTATGTCTAAACTTAGAAAATTAGGGATTATCATAAAACATGCTGTTTTGTCATGTCTAAGAAAACAGATGCCAAAGTCCTTCAACAGAAGCTTTCTGGAAAGGGCTGTCAGGATGGTGCAGTCAGTGCATATTTGTCTTTGATAATCACTGAATATGTGTACAGGAAAGAAAACAATTCTGTAGTCTTTTGACCTGACCCTCATTACCATGGATTTTTATTGAGTTGGCTCTCTGTGTTACCAGTTTGGTGGTATGTTTGTCTCTTAATTGATAATGGTTGTAAATTAATTAAAACCCTCATGATTATAAGAGGGAAAACATTATTATGTGAGCATTAATTTCTTTTCCCTATTTAGATTGATGACAAGGAGTTTGATATTCCTCAAGTTGATACTCCTCCAACACTGGAAAGCATACTAAATGAGGTAAGTATATATTAGTGATCATTTTATGGCATTAAATTTAATACTTCTGGGTTAGTTATAGTGTATGTATCAAAATCTGTCTGTATTGTCCAATGTGGGAGCCACTAGTCACATGTGGCAATTTAAATTTACATTAATTACAGTTAAATAAGAATTGAAATTTCAAATCCTCAGTTGTATGAGGCACATTTCAAGTGCTCAGTACTCCACATGTGGTTAGTGGCTATTATAGTGAACAGCATAGATGCAAAATATTTCTATCTTTGCAGAAGGTTCTTTTGGACAGTGCTGATTTAGATTGTGAGCTTCTCAAGGGCAGAAGCCAGGTCTTGTTCGTCTCTGTGCCCAGTATAAAGACACTACAGCCCGGCCGGGCGTGGCTCAGCGGTTAAGCGTCGACCTAGGATCCAGGCGATCAGGGTTCGATTCCCAGTCAGGGCACATGCCCGGGTTCTGGGCCACAGCCGATCAATGACTCTCATCATTGATGTTTCTAGCTCTCTCTCTCCCTCTCCTTTCCTCTCTCTGAAATCAATAAAGATATATTTTAAAAAAAAAAGACACTACAAAGAAAGAAAATTATAGGCCAATATCCCTGATGACTATAGATGCAAAAATTCTCAACAAAGTATGAGCAAACCAGATCCAGCAATACATTAAAAAGATCATACACTACGATCAACTGGGATTTATTCCAGGGATGCAAGGTTGGTACAATATCCGCAAATCAATAAACGTGATACACATCCAAATAAACGAAATGAAGGATAAAAAAATCACATCATATCAATAGATGAAGAAAAAGCATTTGATAAAATCTAGCACCCATTTATAATAAAAACTCTCAGCAAAGTGGGAAAATACCTCAACATAATAAAGGCAATGTAGGAGAAACCCATAGCCAACATCATACCCAATGGGCAAAAACTAAAGTGTTTCCTTTAAGATCAGGAACAAGACAGGATGTCGGCTTTCAACACTCTTATTCAACATAGTACTGAAAGTCCTGGCCACAGCAATCAGACAAGAAGAAGAAATAAAAGGCATCCAAATTGGAAAGGAAGAATAAAACTGTCATTGTTTGAAGATGACATGATACTGTATATAGAGAACCCTAAAGATTCCACCAAAAAACTATTAGAACTGATGAATGAATTCAGTAAAGTAGCCAGATACAAAATAAATATCCAGAGATTAGTTGCATTTCTATATATCAATAACGAACTATCAGAAAGTGAAACTAAGAAAACAATCCCATTTATAATTGCATCAAAAAAAATAATCCTAGGAAATAATTTAGCCAAGGATGTAAAATACCAATACTTGGAAAATTATGACACTGAAGAAGGAAATTGAAGAAGATACAAATAAATGGAAGGATATATTGTGTTCATGGATAAGAAGAATTAACATCATTAAAATGTCCATACTGCCCCCAAAAATCTATAGATTCAACTCAATTCCTATCAAGATACCACTGGTGTATTTCAAAGAGCTAGAACAAATATTCCAGAAAATGTATGTGGAAACACAAAAGACACTGAACAGCCACAGCAATTTTGAAAAAGAAGAACAAAGTTGGGCTGGAAGAATCACATTACCTGATATCAAACTATACTACATGGCCATAGTAATCAAAACAGCATGGTACTGGCATAAAAACAGACATGTAGATTTGTGGAACAGAACAGAGCACCCAGAAATAACCCAAGCCTTTATGGTCAATTAATATTTGACAAAGGAGGCAAAAGCATACAATGAGGTAAAACAGTCTATTCAATAAATGGTGTTGGGAAAATTGGACAGATACATGCAGAAAAATGAAACTAGACCACCTTCTTACACCATACACAAGGATAAACTCAAAATGGATTAAAGACTTAAATGTTATACTCAAAATCATAAAAATCCTAGAAGAAAACATAGGCAGTAAAACGTCGGACATTTCTTGTAGCAATATTTTTTTCGATATAGCTCCTTGGGCAAGGGAAACAAAAGAAAAAATAAACAAATGGGACTACATCAAACTAAAAGGTTTTTGCACAGCAAAGGAAACCATCAACAAAATGAAAAGACAGCCCACTGAATGGGAGAACATGTTCACCAATGATACATATGATAAAGGGTTAATATCCAAAATTTATAAAACCCAACACCAGAAAAACAAACAATTCAATTAAAAAATGGGCAAAGGACTTGAATAGACAATTCTCCAAAGAGGACATACAGATGGCCAATAGACATATGAAAAGATACTCAATGTCATTAATCCTCAGAGAAATGCAAATTAAAACCACAATGAGATGTCACCTCATCTATCAGAATGGCTATCAGCAGTAAATCAACAAACAACTGTTAGCAAGGATGTAAATAAAAGGGAATGCTCATGCACTGTTGGCAGGAATGCAGATTGGTGTAGCCACTGTGGAAAGCAGTATGGAGTTTCCTCAAAAAATTAAAAATGAAACTGCTTTATGACCCAGCAATTCCATTTATGGGAATATATCTGAAGAAACCCAAAACACTAATTCAAAAGAATATATGCACCTCTGTGTTCATTGCAGAGTTATTTACAATAGCCAAGATTTGGAAAAAGCCCGTGTCCATCAGTAGATGAGTGGATAAAAAAAGCTGTGTTACATTTACACAGTGGAATACTACTTTATTGTAAAAAAGAAGGAAATGTTAACTTTCGCAATAGTATGGATGGACCTGGAGAGTATTATTTTAAGTGAAATAAGCCAGTCAGAGAAAGAGAAGTACCATGTGATTTCACTTATATGTGGAATCTAATTAACAAAATGAACTAACAAACAAACTAGAAACAGGCTCATCAATACAGAGAACAGACTGACAGTTGTCTGAGGGGGGGTATTGAGGGGCTGGGTGAAAAAGGTGAAGGGATTAAGCAAAGGAAAAAAAACCCTTATAGATACAGACAACAGTATGGTAATTACCAGAGGGAAAGGGGAATGTGGTAAGGTAGAAGAGGGTAAAGGAGGATAAGTGGTGATGGAAGGTGACTTGACTTGGGGTGGTGAACACACAATACAATATACAGATGATGTATTATAGAACCGTATACCTGAAACCTATATAATTTTATTACCTAATATCACCCCAATAAATTCATTAAAATGTAAAAAATAAATAAATAAATTGGCCAGCCTTCACACCTCAAGGGAGGTAGGTAGGTTGATAAGTGAAAGTAAAAATAATTTAAGTTGTAGGATATTATGAAGACTGTAAGGGGGAAAATGGATTAAAGGAAATGATTTTTAAAAAGAAAAAAATGAAAGTGGCAGAAGTAGAAAGTTTAAGTAAGCACTTGCTCTAGGATACGTGGATGCAAATGTTCTTCAACATGAAGAGAGGCTGGGAAGAAATAGACTTACAAGATATTTACAGAATGGAAAGATTAGAGATTACTGAGACACCCTAAATCTCAGAATTTAGGGTATGAAATAATGTTGCCAGGCCTTGTCATCCTTTGGAGCTGTGCTATCTCTGAGGTTTTTAATTTTGAAATTCCATTCTCTAACCATAACAACCTCCCCTGCCATTCCCTTCCATTAAACCTGGTCTTTGACCTCATCAAGACCAAATCTCTTGATCCTTCCTAGCCTCCCAGTCTCTGAGAGTAGTCCTGGCTTCACTTCAATCCTACTGTTGCATTGTGCTGTCAGAAATTTCTTTTGAACTTTTTACTGAAGTATAACATACATATAGACAAAGCGCAGAAACTATAAGTATACAGCTTGGTGAGTTTTCACAAACTGAACGCCCTGTGTAACCAGAATCCAGATGAAGAAATAAAACTTTACTAGCACCCCAGAAGCTCCTTCAGTACCCAAACCATCCTAACTTCTACCACCATTGACTAGCTTACCTTCTTTGAACTTCATATAAATGGAATTATACAGTATGTGATTTTGGGTGTCTGGTTTATTTTTCTCAATATTATGTCTTTAGATTCATTCATATTTTTGCATGCAATTGTTCATTCCCATTGCTGTATAAAATTTTTATGTATGTACCATTATTTATTCATTCTGCTGTTAATGGGCATTTGTGTAATTTCCATTTTCTGGCTACTATGAAAAGTGCTGCTGTGAATATTCTTATTCATGTCTTTAGCTCTGTATACACATATACATATCGATACACACACATTTCTATGGGGTATAAACCTAGGTGTAGAATTGCTGAGTCATCAGATATGGACATGTTCAGCCTTGGTAGATACTGCCATGGTTTTTCAGAGTGGTGGTAGTAATATATACTTCCAGCACAATATATGGGACTTCTGGTTACCCTATCCTCACCAACTTCTGAATTTTTCTCTCTTTTTCACTTAGGCATTCTTTCTTATCAGTGTGTAGTGGTATCACATCATAGTTTTAATCTGAAATTCTCTGGAGATTGATTAAACTGGGTACCTTGACATATATTTGGACATTTGGATATCTATTTTGTGAATTTCCTTTTTATGTCTTTCCCCACTTTTCTATTGAACTGTTTTGTTGTTTGTTTGTTTTTTAAACTTATAGGAGTTCTTTATATGGTATGGATATAAGCCCTTTATTAAATATATATTGCAAATGTCTATTTCCATTCTCTGGGTTACTTTTTCACTCTATTAATGGTTTCTTTTGATGACCAGAAGTTCTTAATGTAATTCATTATGTTAATTTACTTCAAAAACCTTATTAGGTTTTTTCATTATGGTTTTTTTTATGTGTCCTGTTTAAGAAAATTTTGCAAATTCCAAGGTCATGATGATGCTATCTTATTTTTTAAAAATTCTTATTGTTCTTCCTTTCACAATTAGATAGATCTGCAAGTCATCTGAGATGTTTTTGTGTGTGATGGTGTGATTCTTCTCTGTGGTGTCACTTTTGTTGTAAATCAGGTGGTCATATACGTTGACTTAATTCCATTGGTCTTTCTATATTGCCCCAATATCACATTCTAATGTGTGAACCTTTATAATAGGTCTTGATACCTAATAGCTGCAATATTCCAGCTTTGTTGTTTTTCAATATTGCCTTTCTTATTCTTGTTTTTTTGCATTTCCATATAAGTTTTAGAATCACTTTATTAGTTGACACACACCAGCTTGAATTTAATAGAATTATATAGATTTTACATATTTGGGGAGAATCAATATATACTATATAGCTAGTAATTTTAAATTCAGCCTTATTCATATCAACAATTCTCTTCTTTTTTTCACTTTTTCTTTCACTTACCCTGTAAGCTTTCCACCCTGGCTTAACTTAGCTGATCTGTTTTGTTGTTTTTGTTTGTTGTTTATTTGTTTTTTAATATATCTTTATTGATTTCAGAGAGAGGAAGGGATAGGGAGAGAGATAGTTGAAACATCAATGATGAGAGAGTCGTCATTGATTGGCTGCCTCCTGCATGCCCCCGACTGGGGATTGAGCCCACAACCTCGGGCATGTGCCCTGACTGGGAATTGAACCTCAGTCTCCTGGATCCTACGTCAGTGCTCAACCACTGAGCCATGCCCAGCCAGGCAGCTGATCTGTTTTTTTTTAATTGTATCCCCAGGTGTTTAAGAAAATCAAATAAGATTCTGATTGTCTTGTTTAAGACCTTTGTGCTATAATTCTTGTTTCTGAATTATTTATTTTCCCTTTTCCTATAGCAGTTGTTCTGCTCTTGTACAGCTCTCAAGTAAAATAATATTTCCTTGCTAACCCTAACCCTGTTCTTAGCAGAGTTGTGTGTGGAGATATCTGAAAAGCAGTTGGAAATATGAGCTAAATCTCAAGAGAAAGATTGACTCTGAAGATACAGATTTTGAAGCCATTAGCATGACATGGTACTTGAAGCTGTAGGCATGGGCTAGCTTGTTTATATAGTAAGCGTATGAAGCAGGAAGAGAGCTAAGAATATAACCCTGGGGAACAGCATCATTAAAGGTTGGGCTGAGGAGAAAGCAGAACATGACTGATAGAAGAGACCACGTAAGCTGGAGGGCTACCAGCAGAGATGTACTAGAGCCCAAGGGAAGAGAGAGTTTCAGGAAGCAGGGCATGCTCAATAGCGTTGAATGATGCACAGAGGGCAAGAACTTGCTAACGTAAAATAGGCCAGTGGATCTGGCTAAGTAACTTCAGCAAGGGTAGTTGTTAGTAGCTAGTAATGCGTGGAGAAAGTAGAGATAATGAGTATGAACTGCTCTCTTAAGAGCATTGATGAAATGGTAAGACAGAAGGTAGTCCAGCTGAAAGAGAAGTTATGATCAGAACATTTTTTCTTTAATGTCTTTTGCTCAGAATCCACCTGTTCAAAGCTAAACTCCTCATTCTGCTTTATCTGCTATTCTTCTGTTTTCTTACCTCAGTAATACCATCTTTTACCTAGCTGCCCAAGCTGGAAACCTTGGAATCTTCTTTGACTTCCCCTTTAACCCCATGGCTCCCTTCCCCCCATTTAAGTGGTAACCAGGGATTTAGGATTTTATCTCAGTAATATCTCTTTCATAATTCTTTCTCTTGATCTCTTCTGTTGCATTCCTAGGCTGGACTCTCCTCTCCTTCCTTGATGTTGCAATAGCCTTCTAACTGGTTCTTAGTAGTCTCCCTGCTTCAGTTTCCCCCTTCTTCCCTCATCTATCTTCACACCACCCCATTTATTTTTTTTAAACATGGTTCCCATCATGAGTGTCCACTTAAAAGTCTCAGTTGCCTTCCCACTGCCTACTCTATATAGTACGCTAATTCATTAAACAAATGAGTACTGATTTCGTGTCAGATATTGTACTAGGCACTAGGGATACAGTGTTGGACTAGATAGACATGAACTCTGCTGTCACCTAGCTCAGTGGAATATAAGGCTCTACTATTTGGGTTCCATCTTATCTTTCAAGGACCACCTCCAACTCCTACTCCATATACTCCAGACATTTTGGACTACTCCCTTTTCCATGGGCAAAATCCATATTATGAAATCACTGTGTTTGCATGTGCTCTTTCCAACCCAGAATGCCTTTCTTGTGTCTGCCTGTCATATTTCTCATTGCATACTCTTTATAGTCAGATGGCACTTGTTTCCTTCTAATTAGCCTTTGGCTGTTAGTTAACTAATAACACATCTATGCAAATTTGCATTTTAAGAAATATTCTGCAGCTAACAATAATCTGCATAACTGCTCCTGCTTCTTCCTGCTACAAGAAAGAAATTTTTGGAGTCAACTTTTTGTAGAAAGATATCTATTTAGAGTTGAGATTTAATTCTGTGCTAGGCATCTCTGGTCAATAACAATACATAAAAAAGAGGTGAAAAGCAGAAATAAGAATGTGACTGTTTTGGAGAAACCTGTTAATGCCTGTCTGACTTACAAATTATTTGCAATTTTGAATTTATTGATCCATATTCTCTGAATTTAGACTGATGATGAAGATGAGTCCTTTGTTCTTGAGGATCCTACATTGTTAAACATTGATACTATTGATTCTCACTCCTATGATACTTCATCTGTGGCAAGCTCAGATAGCGGTGACAGGACCAACTTAAAAAGGTAAGTATGTATTTGTTTAAGTCACACTTGCATATAAAAGAAATACTTGATCATTTAAAATGTAAATCTCTCTATAGTGCAATATGGTCTGCTGAAGCCATGCATAGAAGTAGAAGGCCCACTTGGGTGGGTGTAATACACTTACAGACCCTAAAGATTTTGGCACAAAATTGCCTAGTACAATATCTGACACAAAATCAGTACTCATTTGCTGAGGGGGAGGGTAAAGCTGGGTCCTGTGACCACCGTCTCCTGCACCTCCAGGGGGAGCTCTGCTAACAGCCAGGAACTCCCAAACTCAGGAGAGCCCCCGAGGGGAGCACAGATCAACCCTGGCACAGTGTAGAAACATGGAGCTCGGTTTACTTCGCTACCTTTCTGTTCCCTGCACTCCTCGCCCCTTTCTTCCCACTCTCTAAGGTCAGTTCTGGCATTCCTTCATTCCCTTGGAATGGGTTCAGAGGAGAGTCACAAAGATGATTAAAGATTTGGTAAAAGGACTTTTAACCCTAAATAAGTTCATTTTGGCTGCTTTTCACCTTCTAAATTCTTGGAGAGCACATGAAAAGGAAAGAGAAGTGGAGGAAGCATAATGTAAATACTTTATTGAATTCATGTGTAACTTTAATGTTGATAAAGTTGTCTGTGTATTTTTCTTCTCTTCTTAAATTTTGCCTGTATCGATGCTGTCTTCTTTAAGTTGTCAGCTTTTGTGAAATAGGGGCTGTTGCTGGGTATATTAACCTGTTCATCACTGTTTCCTATAAATAATTTTTTTTCAGCTTTATTGAGATGTAATTGAGATTTAACACTGTGTAGACTTTAAGGTATACATTGTGATTCTTTGATATACATATATTGTGAAATGATTACCATAATAGGGTTAGTTAACATCTCCATATCTCACATAATTGCCGTTTCTTTTTGTGGTGAGAACATTGTAGATCTGCTCTCTTAGCAACTTTCAAGAATATACAGTATTGTTAGCTATAGTCATCATGCTGTACATTAGATTCCCCAGAACTTATTTATCTTGTAACTGGAAGTTTGTACCCTTTAGCCAACATCTCTGCATTTCCTCTACTCGCCAGCCCCTGGCAACTACCATTCTATAATCCTTTTCTATGAGTTTGGCTTTTTTAGGTTCCACTTATGGGATCATACAGTATTTGTCTTTCTCTGTCTGACTTATTTCACATAGCATAATGCCCTCAAGGTCCATCCATGTTGTCACAAATGGCAGGATTTCTTTCTTTCCCATCACTAAGTAATATTCCATATTGTATACACACACCCCCCACATCTTTATCCATTTTTCTGTAGATGGACAATTAGGTTGTTTCCATGTCTTGACTATTGTGAAAAACGCTGCAGCAAACATGGGAATGCGGATATTTCTGGTGACTTCATTTCTTTTGGATATATACCTAGAGGTAGGATTGGCGGATCATATGATTGTTCTGTTTTTAATTTTTTGAGAAATGTTCATGATATTTTCCATAATGGCTGTACCAAGTTACATTCCCACCAACAGGATTCCTTTTTTTCTAGATCCTCACCAACACTTATCTCTTATCTTTTTGATAATAGCCATCCTAACAGGTATGAGGTGATATCTTATTGTGGTTTTGATTTGCATTCCCTGATGATGAGTGATGTTGAGCATCTTTTCATGTACTGTACCTGTTGGCCATCTGTATGTCTTTTTTAGGAAAATGTCTATACACATCCTCTCCCCCCACCTTTTTTTTTTAACTTGGATTGTTTGATTTTTTAGTATTGAGTTGTAAGAGTTCCTTATATGTTTTGGATATTAACCCCTTATCAGATAGATGGTTTCAAATATTTTCTCCTATTTCATAGGTTGCTTTTAATTTTGTTTATCGTTTCTTTTGCTGTGTAGAAGTTGATTTAGTTTGATGTAATCCCATTTATTTATATTTGCTTTTGTTGCTTGTGCTTTTAGTGTCATATCCAAAATGCTGTTGCCAAGACCAATGTTAAGGAAATTCTTCCCTGTGTTTTCTTCTAGGAGTTTTATGGTTTCAGGTCTTATGTTTGTCTTTAATCCATTTATTTTTTGTGAGTGATGTAAGAAAAGGGTATAGTTTTATTCTTCTGCATGTGATTATCCAGTTTTTTCAGCACCATTTATTGGAGAGAGCATTGTTTCTCCACTGAGTGTTCTTGGCTCCCTTTCAAATTTTAGTTGACCATATTTATTTCTAGGCTTTCAATTCTGTTCCATCGGAATATGTACCTGTTTTTATGCCAGTACCATACTGTTTTGATTACTGTTACTTTGTTACATAGTTTGAAATCAGGAAGTGTGATGCCTCCAGCTCTGTTGTTCTTTCTTAAGGTTGCTTTCGCTAATTGGGGTCATTTGCATTTCTACATACTAACAAAAAAATGTCAGAAAAACTAATAAAACAATTCCATTTACAATAGCATCAAAAACAATAAAGTACTCAGGAATAAGTTTAACCAAGGAGGTGAAGGAACTGTACTCTGATGAAAGAAATTGAGGAGGACACAAATGAATGGAAAGATACCCCATGTTAATAGATTAATATTGTTAAAATGTTCATAATACCCAAAGCCGTCTAAAGATTTAATATAATCCCTAACAAAATCCCAATGATGTCCTTACCAGGTAGCTTAGTTGATTGGAACATTCTTCTGAGCACCAAAAGGTTGTGGGTTTGATTCCTGGTCAGGGTGCCTATGGGCAGCAACTGATTTATGTTTCTCTTGCACATCAATATTTTATTTATTTTTAAAATATGTTTTTATTAATTTGAGAGAGAAAGGGAGAGGGGGAGAGAGAGAGACATAAATGTGAGAGAAACATCCATCGGCTGCCTCCTGCACACTTCCTACTGGAGAGCAAGCCCACAACCCAGGCATGTACCCTGACCAGGAGCTGAACCCGTGACCTCTTGGTACATGGGGCAATGCTCAACCAGCGGAGCCACACCAGCCAGGGCTATCCTTGAATTTAACAGTGAACTACTTATGAGTCCCTCTAGCTAGGCTATGAGGCCTGTGAGAGCAGGAAACTGGACTTGATTATTTTTGTATCTCCAGGGCATACTTTTAGTTACACAGAGTAGATGCTCAATGTTTGGTAAAACTTTTAAAATTATTTTTTGTATGATGATGAGTAGGATAAGTGAAAGGAGCTGTTAGTAGGAGCAGCAGAGAATGAATAATGAGTAGGGAATTTGAGGATTTTGGCTGAAGAATGAGAGGGTGGTTATAGACGGGGGGAGAAAAAAAGGTTGGCAAGGGTAGAAGGCAGGTAAAGGTGATGAAGACATGTAGGGCAGGAGCAGTGCTGGTAGGCAACATTCTGGTGAGTAGTAGAACCTCTTACTATATTAAGGTAGGCATGGAACAGTTTGAATCAGTAAAAAAGGAATGGTGACTTTATTCATTTTCCTGCTTGACTTCTCTAAGGTTCAACGCAAGTTTAATACAACATCTTAATGTGGGATTATTAGACTCTTTATGCCTCTCCACTTTTCTTGTTTTTAATGTGTTTCTTTTTCTTTCAAAGTTTGAGACCCTGCCTTTTCAATTTTGTTTCTGTTCTAACACTTTTTTTCTTTTTTAGAAAGAAGAGATTACCTGATTGTTTTTCACTCCATGGATCAGTTATGCGACATTCACTTTTGAAGGGAATCTCTGCCCAGATAGTGTCTGCAGCTGTAAGTATTTTGTTCCTTCCCCCAGCTTTGTAACCGGCAATGGCATAATGAAGTAGGAATGAGCATAAAACAAAGCACAGCACTTCTCTTGGCTTGAGGCTTAAGAAAAATAGAATCTGGCTTTCATGGGTTTTGTGTGATTATTTTTGACTTGTAAGACATGGCTACACATCTTGACATAGAAATTAGTGCAGCCATGAAATAAAGGTCTGCTCAGAGTCTGGGGTGTGCCTAAATGAAATATGGCAGCAAGCCTAAGAGAAACACTATCTGCCTTTTCTTGAAATTCCTTTTCAGTTTAGTTGCCATCTTATGTATTTGGTTGAGGTAGACTGCTTGTTTTTTTAGTCTTTTCATATGGAGAAATGATTGTTCAGAATCTTTTACAACTGATTTCTTTCTTTCTCTCTCTCTCTTTTATAATTCACAAAGTCTTTTCATGTACCTTATTTTATTTACTTTTAGAACTTTGTAAGTAGGGAAAACCATGTCCTATTTTCAAATGAGAAGTCAGGTTTAGAGAGGTGATATTAACTTGTCTTACATCATTGGGTTAGGAGACAGCAGAGCAATTACTTAAAATTGGGGTTTCTGGCTCCAAGTAGAGTGCTCCTTTGTTGTGAAATAGAGGTGGTATTGGTGAATGTGTTCAGTGGATAATGGCTAGAACAGAATATTTGTGGTCTTTTTTGAAAATGATTTAGAGCACTCGGTTAATGCAAAAATATTTAATAGTTCATCAAGACAATAGACACTGATTCTGGCATGTGTTATCAAATTTTTCTTTGACCTCCCAAAGCGGATAGTTTTATGTAGTCTTTCAACTTTAGTCTCCTGAATTCAGTATATAGATCGTGTATATAATGATGATGATAATGATGATGATGATGATGACAGATTCATACCCCAAGAACTTTGATGTGTTTTTATGTTCTTTTCATGAAGTTTAATTGGCATTTTGCATATTCGATGTGGACAAAGTTTTGATTTTTCAGAAGAGTAAGAGATTGATACAGAAGTGCCGCATGACACCATAGCCACATTGCAATTTTCAGGTTTATTAAGGAAAGCTCTTACTGCAGATACCTAAATAAATAAATAAATAAATGGAAGAAAGAAAGAAAGAAAAAGTATTCTTTGTGGGCAATTGGTATACCCTGACCCAGCTCATATATCATGAAGTCAATTTAAATAGAGAGTCAAGCAATGGAGGAAACCTGGGCATTTGTCCTTCCCCTTCTAGGTGGAGAGTAACTCATATTTTCTAGAATGGGAACCACCTGTTGAGGATTACATTTCCATGACGTTTTCTGAATTTAATCCTTATGTAGGTGATGAAATTCATTCCTTTCAAAATCAAGATGAACCAGAACAGTCATTTGACCCACCTGTGCAGTTTTAAAAATATTTTGAATAATGGAGACCGAACTAAAATTCAAACACTGAACAATGATTAGATAAATCTGTTATTTAAAAGAGTTTCTCCTCTTTCTTGAAGAGGAGGGAAAAGTTCTAATAAATCCCAGAGTGTTTGCATTCTCTTCTTATTTCATTGCTATGGCTGAGCTCCTTTGGTATGTTAAAATGAAAACTGCTTTTCCTGTGACAGTCTTCATACTCTGCCTTCCTAATTCTGGATTACCAGCTCAATTTAAATTGTATGCTTTTCTGTGATGGTTGGTTTATTAACATGTAAAGCTAGTTATATTTTTTGGTATCTCTCCTGAATAGTTGTTCAATAATGCCTTCAGCCATGTGGATAGTGATGTTATTAGGGCTGCCTAGGGCCTTGATCATCATGACTTTGTAATCCATGCCTGGAGAACACTTGGGAGAGATGAAACTTTTAAAATTGTGAACTTCATTGTTTAATTTTAGAAGCCTCCTCAAAGTAATATGACATGTGACTATATTTAAAATCAATTCAAATTAAATTTTAAAGGATATTTATCATTTTAATGACCACCTAAGATAAAAGAGATGCCTTAGCACAGTGTTTTTGCAAAATGTGTGTAATGTGTAAGAATATCCTGGAGTGCTTATTAAAATGCAGATTCCTGGCACTACCCCAGACCTACTGACTTGGAATCTCTAGCAGTGAAGCATAGGGATATGCATTTTAACAGGTATCCCAGGTGATTCTAGTGCATCTGGCTTTTTAAAACCACTACCCTAAGATGTTGCAACACTAGTACTAAAATTCTGTGATCTCTAAAATGCTTTCCACATCTGTGGCTTTTAGTTTTTAAAGTCAGCTGACTTCTGATTTCATTATTCAGGTTCCATTTTGAGTATCGTTTATGTTCTTCATCTGCTGTCTCATTCTTTTTCCCTGTCTGGGACACAAATCAATCATTTAGCAAATATTTATTGCATGCTTCTTAATTGTTGAGCATTATGCCAGAGAAGCTTTCCACACACACACATCCACACAAAGTTGGGTATATCCTGTCGTCCAGGACATTATATATATCAGCCTTGGGGATTGCTCCTTCTCACATTCCCATGCACTGGAGAAAGTTTCTTAAGTTAGTTCCTGGGAAGCTCTATTAAGTCAGATAAAATAGATTCTTCCTTCTGAGAGATAACTAATTGACCACATTGATAAGGACAGACATAAGAAAAGAAATGTAGAAGTGATGTAAAGAGCCTGGTTGAACCTGGAAGCCCTGAGGTTGAGACATAATTCTGTCACTTGCTGAATAATCTTGGGCAAGTCAGTTAAACTCTTTGAAACTTCTATTTTCTCGATTTGGAAAGTCAGAATACTACTACCTGTTTTATCTATCTCTCCAGGTTTAAGAATCAAATAGCATAATATATGTATGTGAAAGCTCTTTCCTGTTACAGTGCTAATCACTGTAATCCATTACTATTATTTAAAGTTATAAAAGCATCAAATCGACACCCTTACATTTATATGACACTTTACGTTTAGTTTGATTTTCACGACAACTCATTGATGTAGATAGGGCAGTATTTGCTATTTCTTGAACAGATGAAATAACTAATATTCAGAAGGATTAGGTAACTTCTCCAAGGTCATACAGTTACTGGTAAGGAGCTGGAACTAGCACTTAATTTTTGATTTTCTTATTCTTGAGAACTGATTGAATATACCTTGCTCAGGTTTTATTTAGGGGTTATTGCATAATCTGCTAGACAGGAAGCTCCTACTTAGAGGAAAAATATCTTTAGCGTATGTTTTCTTTTTCTAAAATCTTTATGTACTCTTACTATTTTGACCCATAGTCTTTATACTTTACTCACATTATTGAAACTGGAACCTCTTTCCTCTGTCTTTTCCTTTACATTGTCATTTATAATCAGTACCTTTCCTGAAGCATCTGTTATAGTAAGTAAAATAAAATGATCTTACTCTCTTGCTCTTTACATTTTGTTGGTATATAGAACTTTTGTAGTTTCTCTTGGCAAAAACAAAGGTTCTACTTCTTGTCTGAATTGATTTGGATCAAAATGTATGTAAAGAGAAGGCCTTATACCATTTTCTGTTTTTTAATGAGAATATATTTTCAAGCACTTTTTTTTCTTTCTAAATTTCATTTAGGACAAAGTTGATGCTGGCTTGCCTACAGCAATTGTAAGTATACTTTAAATAATTCTGTAAAGGTAAGCTTTCTATTCAATTGGGTTTTCTTACATTTATTCTTCTAATGTTTAAAGTTATTATATAAATTATTGTAATAATAAATTTGTAAGTCATTTATTACCAGTAATCAGGTTTAAAATTTATGCATGTTGAATGTTCTCTTTCTAGTGTATTTCTACTCTTCAGGCTTTTGTTTGAGAAGCATGTAGTGGAATAATGATTAGTTTTTCCAGGTTTATTTGTATGTGGTTCTACCCTGCCCAAGTAAATTTGCTCTTTCTGTGGTTTGCCCTCCCTTTCATTATAGGGAGTGGAAAACAGTATTTGGTAAAATCACTTTGCAGTAAATAGTACATTTAACAGCTCTGAACCCTATTGCCAGGCCTGCCAAGTAAATCTGTGGAGTTATTATAGAGAACCGGGGCATATTGAAAGCACACTAGTGCCTTCTTTTCTTGACTAGTTCCAGCTGCCTCTTGTAGCTCTCTTATTAGTTAATTGGTGAGGAAGTTGGCTGAATTTGGAACATTTCTGGTGCCTTTTGGCTCCTGGGAATAAATTGGAGAAGAGCTTTCTAAGCCCTTCTCCACACCTCATAGGAGGTTCTTGGTGCCTCTTACTTTGTCTAGACTCCTGAATTTTTTATGCTGTAGAGGAAGCTAAATGTCATGTTTTTCTCTATAATGTTGAACATATGATAGTTTGATATTGTTACCCTTAGAGTAAATTTAGAGGGATTCCCAGAAATACAATGTCCTGAGTTTAATTTCCTGTTTTGCCTCCTAGATGAAATTCTCCTTATTTGTAATAGTTGGTATGTCCTTTGTTGCCTAGAGGAAGGAAGACCAACAAATTCAGCTCAGTTTATTTCAGGATTCTTGCTGTACTATGTTAAAATATAATCTTCCCTTTTGTTCTCAGGCAGTGTCCAGTCTGATAGCAGTGGGTACATCTCATGGATTGGCTTTAATATTTGGTAAATTTTCCCAAGTACTTCCTTTCTTTACTTTAAATATTAAGTATCCTTTTGGTTTTTCTAATGTCTTTTAATCATAGTTTACATAGTGAACTTTATTTTCTTGGAAAAAACATAAAAACTTGAAAAGTAGCAGTATTTTTATAGTTAAAAATTACTTGACTAGCTTCATTTTGTTGCTTGTTGCCAATTAATTTTCTTTGTGAATTTATGAGCTACCATATCTACTGATTCTCTGCAAACCTAGACAAAAAGAATATAAAGTTGGAAGGGACCTTAGGTTGTCATCTTGTCTGCCTTCAATTGGTAGTGGGTGGTAGAAGTGATTTTTGATCCTAAATCATGTCTGAGTAATAGGTATTCTAGAAGATCTTCAGGAAAGAGATTCTCAGGCATTCTCAGTAATTTTCAGTAACTCTCACTGACAATAAGTTCTTTTTAATTTCCATTGTAAATCCATCTAAACTGAGAAATATTTTAGCCCTTAATCAACTTCTTTTCTTGGTTGAGACAAGAACTTAACTAGTTTCATTTGTATGGTAGAGGTTAGTCTTACAATTATTTTCTCTTTTTTTTTTCCTCTCTGAGACTAAATAACCCCAGTTTCATTCATCTTTCTTTGCTTTTGAATTCAGTACTACTAGCAGAACATTAACATTTTCTTTTTAATTTAAAAACTGTTAGTATTTTTCTGTCATTTTTACTCTTCTTTGGATCTTAAGTCTTATTCATCTCTCTTAAATGGAATTCCTGATGATACTGAATTTCATTAGGGATTCTACAGGATATTGTATAAGGATTACAGGGGAATACTTTAATAGCAGAACCACAATTTGATCTCTGTAGGCCTTACATCTTTATTTACCATATTAGTTATTTTTCCTTGTTTTTTAACAATTTGACTTCCTATTTATAAAATTTTCCATTATACCAAAAGCCCTATTTATCACGTTATTTTCATACCTAGTCTTTTCAAAGGTAATTGATATAAATATATTTTTATTTGATATAAATGTGAGTTTTATTGTTTGGAGATGAGAAGAATGGAAACAAAAATATAATTCTCTTGAGAGAACTATAGAATTGATTCTTTAAATAATATTTTTCTTATTCCATTATGGATATGTATTCATAATAGAACATTTAGAAAACATAGATGAGCAAAAAGTTGAAGATATTAAATACCAAATTCTCCCATGCAGGAATAGTCCCTAGCATTTCTGTATACAGTCGTCTAATCTTTTTTCTGTGCATGTGTGTGTGAGTGCTCATGGGAGTGCAGATACCATGCAAATTACATGGGATCATGTAATTTGTAACCTGCTTTTTCATTATCATGAACATCTTTCTCGTACTACGTATGCATTTGTAATGTTATTTTCAATGGCTACATAGTATTCTTTTAAATGGATTCACCATAATTTACTTAATCATTTTCTACTATAAGACGTTTAGGTTGTTTCTAACAATGATGTTCATCACTATACTGTTTCTAAACAAACAGTATAGTGATGAACATCATTGTTATTGCATTTTTGTACATGTGATTACTTCCCTAGGACAAATTCCTAAAAGTCCTAAGTCATATCCTGGGTCAGGGTATGAACATCTTAAACACTTATAATATGTATTGTCTAATTGCCTTCTGGAAAGCTTTACCAGCTGTCATGTGTAGGAATGCTTGTTTTCCTATGGGGGCATACTTGGTATTGGATTGATAGGATTTTGAGAAAGGATCTTAAAAGGTCTTTTAGTTCACTTTCCTTATTTTACATATGAGGTGATTGAAAACAAGAGAGATTAAGTGACATGCCCAGAGCCAAGGTTAGAATCAAAGAATATGGAATCCTAGAGCAATACATTTCCCCATTCTAAGCAGTTCTCCTGTCCTGAGAGAAAAGGAGGCCAATTCCAAGATATATGAAGAAAAGAACTGAGGTGAATGAGGGTAAAATATAATGCATATAGTCATCTGTCAGCAGAATGCATGTTGAGTTTTTGTTCCCCCTTACCATTATTTTTCCTCACCTCTATTTGCTTTAACATTCCCTCCTTACCATGAGGTTACAAGAATATGTGCCTGCTTATAATCAAACTCAGGAAGAGCTTACTGCAACAAATTAAAATGAATATACTTAAAACAAAAACTAACAGAGGAGAAGAGCTCATTATTTTTTGCTGCTGTCTCCTTAATTTCCTTGGGCCTGCTTCCTAATTTTCTTTAGATCCCAGTAGCTATCTGATGAAATAGTAATCTCATTATAGTCTCATGGAAAAGAAAGTATTCCAAAGTGAACATTTTGAGGAAAAAAATCTTAATATTCTGGTTATGCTTTGGGTTTTTAGTTATGCCTTAATAAATTTTATTCATTTTTGTAGGAATCATATATTTGGACAATGAGTTTTAATGAATGGATTAAAATTTGTTTGAAAGCCAGGGACAAATGGCAGAGTAATAATACCATGAAGTGCCTGGCCGGGCGTGGCTCAGTGGTTGAGCATCAACCTAGGATCCAGGCGATCAGGGTTCGATTCCCGGTTGGGGCACATGCCTGGGTTGTGGGCTTGATCAATGATTCTCTCATCATTGATGTTTCTGTCTCTCTCTCTCCCTCTCCTTTCCTCTCTCTGAAATCAATAAAGATATATTTAAAAAAATAATAATAATAATACCATGAAGTGTCTAGATTGGAGATCTAGGTTAAATCTGATTTCTTTTAAACATCTTCATTGATCATTGGAAAAAGTGTAGAAGGAAGAACCATACTTTTTTAAGTACCAATACATTCTTCTTTAGAATAGTGAGCTGGGACATTAAAATAGTAATCATTATAAGCTTCATAAAGATTGATATATGTTGCCTATTCTTATGGAATTGTAAATATATGGCATTTGTTGTGTATCTTGGTTCTTACCTATATGAAGGATCTCAAAAATTCAAATCTTAATAAAGATGTTTCTCTATCCCAAGGTCCTTAGTTTTCTACTTTTTGGGTTGTTAGCATACTTTAGTAGATTATCTTTTTAGAAAAAAAAATTTTTTGGAGGGAGGGGAGAGAGAGAGGGAGAGAGAGAGACAGAAACAGAAACATCAGTGTGAGAGAGAACATCAATTGGTTACCTTCTGTGCATGCCCTTACCAGGGATCGAACCCACATTCTTTCAGTATATGGGACAAGGATCGAACTGAGCCACACCGGCAATTGTTTTTATTTTTATCAAACTCAATCGACTTGGATTTACTTACTGTGCTGTAATTTGAATATTATGTCTTTTCTCTTTTCCTATAACCAATACCTGAATATAATCATAAATTCTAGAGACGTAGAGACATCAATTAATCATATTTAGTATCCTTCCTATAGATAACTGCAGTTTGTCACTTAAACTCTTGAAATTTTATCTCTTTTCTCTGAACTTTTGAACTGATCTCTTGCTTTCTCTCTTTTCACCTTTTCTCCATGGATCCAAAGGAAAAGGTATAGTAATTTTGGTTTGCATGAGTGACTTTTTTTCTTTTGACCTTAATGTTGAAAGAGAATGCTATCAATTATAGTCAATGCCCTCCTATGAAATGCTCATGGAAGAAAACCAGCTAATTGAAAGATTGGTTAAAGCAGGGAATTGTTAAAAATTATAAATTTATGCATTCCATCAATGTTTTATTTTAACTGAAAATATATAAATATTCATTTTCCCCTTAATCTTTTGATATATACCAAAGCCTTTACTTTGAGTTTGTATCTGCCAGACAGAGATCTGCAGCATCTTTTTTGGTATAAACTGCATCAATAATGGGTCACGTAAAGTTTGTACTTGTAATTTTTTGAAAAAGAGGTAAGAGCTTAGGTACCTGTGAATCAGTCAAGCAGTGCAAATACTAGATTTTCATTAAACTTCTCTTCAGTCTTCTACAGTTATCTTGTACACACCCTATTTCATAACAGTTTTTAAAGCAATTTATCTTTGCCAAGTTTTTCTAAAGCATTCATTCAGTTTTCATAGAAACAATAGCTCTTTCTTTTTCACTCTGTTTCATCAGCTTCTATATTTTTAATTAACTTTTTAAAGTATAGCAACATTACAGTGGCATGAACAGTTTTGGGAATGAACACAAATGACTCTTCAGCATTCTAGAAAATAGCCAGTTAGCCATGGGGATTCAGTGTTACATGGGCTCCAGTCTGTAACCCTTACTGAGGGATTGAGAACTTTAACTCTGTGTGTTGGTTAGATGGAGGTCAGGTAAAAGTGCCTCTGCTGTTTTATAATCATGATGAAAAATGTTTACTATCTCTTTGCTTCTCCTTTGGTCTTAGATAATATTTTAATATGCTCAAAGGATAATAAAAGAGTAATACTAAAGAATGATGAATACTGGCAATAGAAGTAGAGCTCTGTACACATAATTAAATTTGATTCCGTCTAGGATCCAGGTATTTCCTACATTGACAGTGTTTAGGAACTAGTTAAAACAAATTAGAGGTGAAGAAATAGAAGACTGGGTTAATTTTGGTACATGGAAAGAGAATCGGAATTCTGGGAATATGTTCAAATTTAGATGTTGTAGCTATTATAGGCTATTAGAGGCTTTATGCATTATCTGTGACTTTTCTTTGCTATTCAGCACATTACTCGTAAACTATGAATATGCTGAGGAGATCTACCCTAAGCAAAGTATACTTTGAAAGGAATACTAATAAAAGAAATAGTTATAATTCACTGCAGTGTCAAATAGATGTGCTCTTTGTGATATCTGGGCTTCAAGTTCTTTTAATTAATTGATAAGCTATTTATTGCTAACAATAATCTCTTGCACTTGTACCATTTTGTAGTTTTAAAATTTTTATAGCCATTTTCTTATTTAAGAAGTATGCCGATTTTGTGAAGTTTAAAGGAAAAAATGATAGTCTCCTTTTTTATTTCTTGCCCAGTATTTGCTTCATAGGGGCCCACTCCAATAAAAATAAGAAAAAAGTAAGTTGACAGTGCTAACTAAGTGTGGTTTTATGTGAATTTGTAAATGAAACTAATTTAATCTTTTTTCCTCAACAATAGACAAAAGAGATTTCAGAGAGTAGGGGGAGATTAGAATTTTACATTTAAATTAATGAGATCAAGAGCCCCCTGGAGAGTAGAACTTGGAGATAACACTGATTTTCGTCTTTCTTGCTTCTGCCCTTGCCCTGTTGTTCTTTCCATAAACCTACAGAATTTAAGTGTTTGGAAGAGGTTTTATTTTTATTGTCTTACCTTTCCCCAGAATTGTCCAGAATTATCTGGACTACAGAATGTTTAGTTACTCTAGTAAAAAAACCTCTCCAGTAAGACTCTGCTTTCTTTTTTCTACAGAAAAAATTAGGCTAAATTGTATAATAGCTAGTTGGTTAATATGGTACCATAAAAATAGACTGTATAAAGACAGCAATGAGAATTGATAAATATTTTTTGGAGTTAAAATAGATTGTATTTTATACACTGTGCATCACCTCCTAGCCATGCAAATTTATAAAGGGACATTATAAAGATAACGAACATATTGTAAAAATCAAAAAGAGAGTTGAGAGTATTTTTATTAACAAAGTCCTGCGGGATGTAATTTAATACATCTTTCAGGAATGACCTAGGTTGATAATTTGGTTCCTTGTGTTAGCTAGTTTTTAGTACATGGGACCCACAGTTAGGAAAGTAGAGTCATGTTTGGGTTTTAACCTAGAAGTCACATAAGTTTTTTTCCTTTCCTCCTTTCTTCTCTATTTCCTCTTTCTTAATGGTACTTTTATTTTCTGTTTTATCATACATCTTAATTCTCTTATTCTTCCTTTCCTGAGCTATAAGAATACTCAAATAGTCTGATTTAAAGTATGAACTTTGTTAAATCAGAAAGCAGTAGTGATTCTCTCTTAAATGTTGGTGGATTAGAACTGTGTAAAGTTTGGATCTCAAAGCAGCAGTTACAACGGATGCCAGCAGGATGCTATTCAGACACTGCTCTGTGCTTACAAGGCAGGCAGCCCAGACTCTAGGGGCTTTGTGAGGCTGGTATGGAATTTCTGCCTTTGGCCTCTTAGCTTTCAGTTCATCTATTGCCTACACACATGACCCAAAGTAGTGGTGTGTATAGAACACTGTTGCCCAACCATTGTATCTTGAGAATTTGCCAAGTAAGGTATATGGATTAGGCAGCCCTGACAAAATAAGGATCATGGGAGACACCATTTTTTACAGTTTCAGTAAAGCAAAATAAAATGTGATGTCATATTTAGAGAAAGGAAAATAAAGGAAATTCTAATAATTTGAATTAAATGAGGGAAGGAGGGAAAAGTATGTAAGTAAGGAAAAAATCTGTGATTGTAATAATGCTAGATATGAATAAAGATGACTTTTAAAATATACCAGCCCTTGAATATTTATAAATTTCACTGCTTTTTGAATATTCATCTTAGAAGGCTAAAATCTAACATGATTTCGGTACACGTCGAGTATTTTTTGTGTGCCAGATACTATGCAGCCATCAATTGTGTCAGAATTCCTTGGGGAGATGGAGATTATTATTTGAGCCAGCATATGAACATAGAGAAATATTCTTACAGTATTCACTTTATATGGGCAAAAGGACTTGCATAGTATTATTCCCTAGACCTGAGAATGAATGTTTCTAGGCTTTTTCTGATAACTAGATTTACCCTTATAGAGGAAGATTTGCAAATGTGGAAGCTGTTCAGATGATTGTCAGTTGCCTCTGAGTGCAAGGCACCATGCTATGTATTATGGGAGTGTAAATTCACTCATAACCTTTGCCTTAGAGAGGTCTTAATCTCATAGTGGAAGTAAGATATATTTACCTCCGAAAAGTAGCATGTAGATAGTGTTAAAGAATGAAATTTGACCAAGTAAATTTTAAAGATCTTACTAGCTTTATTCAATGATTCATGAATCAGGCAGCAACATCTAGCACAGTGATTTTCAACCATTTTGTGCTGCAAGAATTTTTAAAACATGCAATACCTAACTATTTAGTCATGGGCACTGACCTCTTTTCCCTTAGATTGTCAAAAAAAAAAAAAAAATTAAAACAACCAGTGCAACAGTAGCTGTCCAATGTGAATGAATCAAAATTATACCTATTTTTTGTCAGATAGGCAAAAAATATATTTTTTGGTGTGCTGCAGAATTTTAGTAATTAGTTTATGTGTGCCGTGAGATGAAAAAGGTTGAAAATTGCTGATATAGCAGAGAGAAAGGAGCTCCGAGAAGCTATACAAAATGAAAGACTTCTATAGGCAGAAGGGAATGGGACAAGGAAGTTACACTAGCAAAAAGCAGATCGGTTGTGGCAAGGTCACCTTCCTTTAGGGGATGACAGGCCTGTCTGGCAGATTACCTAACTAGTACTGACCAGGCAATTCCTGATTGACTGGTTTAAGATTACATTCTTGGGAGAGGCCGAAACTGTAATTAAGTATTAAATCTCAGTTTGGTGATAGGGGGCTTAGCAAAAATGACTCCATTTTGGGCCTGTTGTCTTATTTTTAATACTAGTTAAGGGAGGCACAAACTAGCTTGGGGAGTTGATAGAACTCCAGACTGTGCAAGTATGGTAGGTTTATTGATTTTCCCCTCTAAAAAGTTAAATTTTGTAGACATGCCTTCTTATACTTAAAATTTTTTATTTCATGATTTTCAAGTGGGTACAATAATGAACACTATACAAAATAAGCATTGCCTAGGAGATTCCCTAGAAAAATTTCTTCTAATTTTTTGATATTAAAGTTTAATAAATATTTGAGTGCCTACCGGAGCTATCAGAGGTGATTAAGGCAAAATCCTTGCCCTTAAATAACTTAATCTAGTACAGATTTGAATTATTTGCTTTTAGCATATCAAGTGTTGATGCTCGAAATAATTCTTTAAGTAGTTAAACACTATAATTTTATTTGTACTATTAATTTGCTTAGTAAACCTTTTCTTCATGGATAATAGAAATTAAAATTTCAATCAAGTTTTAAATGAATAAATTTTGATTTTTGAAGTTTTAAAGCTACTTTAAAAGATGGTATTCCCTGTAACTTTTCATCCTGAAAATAGCAAGAAATACAATTCTGGATGAAAGATGGTTTGTTTAAAGAGATACAGATTTCTTATGGATTTTTTTACTTATCATTAGCAAGTTTTATGTTATGCTTCCTTATAGATGTTGTTTTTTCCTATATTCTTAGTATCTATCAATACCCAGCCTCTAATAGATGTTTAATACATACAGGGCGTCCCAAAAAGATTTATACGCACTTTAACAGCTGATAGCTCAATTTTGGAAATGAAATGTATTTTAATAAACACTGCCTTTATAATTATTCAGTGTATGTATACATTTTTTGGGGACATCCTATATATTCAAAATGAATGTAACTTCATTTTTTGATTCTTGCTACTTCCCAAGTTTTTTAAGACAAGCCTATAATAAATATATATTTATTTACTCCATCCATTTCTTTCACTTGATTTTATAAATTGCTCTCTTTAGATCAGAATCAAGCTTTGCGACTCTGTCTGGGTAGCACTAGTGTTGGAGGTCAGTATGGAGCCATCTCTGCCCTCAGTATTAACAATGACTGCTCAAGACTTCTCTGTGGCTTTGCTAAAGGACAGGTAAATATGAACTTAATTTTCTCCATAAGACAATGTTAAAATCAGTTTTTAAAAATAGTATCTCTAGGTCAATATCTTGAAGACCAAAATATGTTATAAAGTGACATGTCTATAGCAATCACCCGACTTTTGTTCAAATTTTTAATAATTGTTATTGACTGAGCTAGAGTATGTGATTTGTTAAAAATTGAGGTATAATTCACACATAACATTATTTTAGTTTCAGGTGTACAACATAATGATTCAGTATTTGTATTCATCTGAAATATCACCACAATAAATCTGTTTATCATCCATCACCATACAAAGTTACATAATTATTTTTTTTTGTAACGAGAACTTTTAAGATTTACTCTCTTAGCAACTTTCAGATATGCAGTACAATATTATTGACTGTGGTCATCATGCTGTACATTACATCCCCATGACTGATTTATTTTATAACTGGAAGTTTGTACCTCTTGACCCCTTTCACTCATTTCACCCAACCCCCAACATCCCTTTCCTCTGGCAACCACCAGTCTGTTTTCTGTACCTATGAGTTTTGTTTTGCTTCGTTTGTTTTTTAAATTCCACATGTAAATGAAATCATATGGTATTTGTCTTTCTCTTAGCATAATACCCTCAGGGTTCATCTGTGTCGCAAATGCCAAAACTTCCTTCTTTTTAATCACTGAGTAGTAGTCCATTTTGTGTGTGTGTGTGTGTATCCATTCATCCATGGATAGACCCTTAGATTGTTTCCATATTTTAGCTATTGTAAATAATACTGCAATGAACATGGGGTGCAGAGTTAGTATTTTCATTTTGGGGGGGATAAATTCCCCAAAGTGTAATTGCTGGGTCTATTTTTAATTTTTGAGGAATCTCCGTACTGTTTTCCACACTGGCTCCACCAGCTTACATTCCCACCAGTAGTACACAAAGCTTTTGTTTCTCCACACCCTCGTCCACACTTGTTATTTCTTGTCTTTTGATTCAAGCTATTCTGACAGGTATGAGGTGATATCTCATTGTGGTTTTGATTTGCATTTTCCTGATGATTAGTGATGCTGAACATCTCTTCATGTGCCTGTTGGCCATCTGTGTGTCTTTGGAAAAATGGCTATTCAGATCCCCTTCTCTTATTTATTTATTTATTTATTTATTTATTTTGCTATTAAGTTGTATGAGTTCTTTATATATTTTGAGTATTAACCCCTTATAAGGTACATGATTTGCACATATTTTCTCCCATTCAGTACATTGCCTTTTTATTTTGTTGATGATTTCCGTAGCTGTACAGATGCTTTTTAGTTTGATGTAGTCCCATTCTTTTATTTTTGCTTTGGAGTCAGATGCAAAAATTTATCACCAAGACTGATGTCAAGGAACTTATCGTCTGTTTTCTTCTAGAAGTCTTATTGATTCAATCTTACATTCAAGTCTAATCCATTTTGCATTAATTTTTTTGTATGGTATAAGATAATTCAATTTTATTCTTTTTGCATGTGGCTGTCTAGTTTTCCCAGCACCATTTATTGAAGAGACTGTCCTTTCCTTGTTGTATATTCTTGCCACCTTTGTCATGAATTAATATATGTGGGTTTATTTCTGGGTGCTTTATTCTGTTCCATTGATCTATGTATCTGTTTTTGTGCCAGTACCATATAGTTTTGATTACTACAACTTTGTAATATAGCTTGAACCCAGGAGTGTGATACCTCTAGCTTTGTTGTTCTTTCTCAAGTTGCTTTGGTTATTTGGTCTTTATGGTTCCATACAAATTTTAGGATTGCTTGTTCTGTTTCAAAGAGAGGGATCTTATTCAACACCCAGATTCAGGCTAATTAGAAACAAGACCCTTCAGCAGCAGCTTTTAATGCAAATATATACAGTCCTCTGGGACTGCCAACCCTGCTGGCCTCCAGTCCAGGCGATTTGCAGGTGTCCCCTGGGCAACAGTTGCAAAAGTTGGGTTCCAGACAAGTATATAAGCTCCTTTCTGGAAGGTACTAGTGAGTCGTAGTGACACGGAGAGAATGCAAAGATGAAAAGATGTTATTTCTTGGCCTACATTCCCTGAGAGCTCCTCCATGGCCTCTAGATGTGTAGAGGGAGAGCACACAAATGGCACCCATAAGCACTGGTGCTAGCAAGGTAGAGGGGGAGCACAGAAATGGTACCCAACAGTGCCCCCATCCCTGGAGAGAGTCCCATCAGGCCCCTGCCCCTTTAGCAGACACTTTAAGATTAGTAAGTGAATCTCCTTTACGTATAATTTGGGCGCTTTTCAAACTTCTGCTTTTGTGCTGGGTTCCTGGGCAAGTCTGTGTTCAAGCCCTTTAAGGGAAGAATCTCAGTTCCCTGTTTCCTGGACACAGGCCCCTTTGTTTTCAAAGCCAGGTGTTTTGGGGCTCATCTCCCTGCACAGGCCCCAAGGGTGGGGTGCCTGATGTCCTCACTCCTCAGGGAGAAGCTCTGTATTGTGAGATCCCTCTAGATTGTGGGTTGCAGTACTGGGGGTGGGTTTTTGGTGAGACTGCATCTCTGCCTCTCCTACCCGTCTTGATGTGGCCCTTTTATCCTCTGTCATGGGGGAGCTGTGTAGCAGTTTTTAGGTCTTTTTCAGGGGGAATTATTCCATGTGTAGCTGTAGATGGTGTGCCCATGGAAGGAGGTGAGTTTAGGATCTTCATACACTGTCATCTTGAATCCCTGACCTTTTAAGTCTGTGATTTTTAGTATCTTAAATCATGTGTCTGTATAATTCAATAGCTTTTATGAAAAACCAGGGTGTTATTTATACAACATTTACTTCCTTACAGTATTGTAGATAATTGTTGCCACTTTTTAAATACACTATATTCTGCTTTGTGTATTCTTACTACTATGCCCTTGGATAACTTTTTTGGTATTTCTTTCTTTCTACTTCTGAAACTGGCAATAATATATGGTTTTTCTCATCTTGTGACTTATATATCACTGGTTAGTTTGCTAGTAAGCCTCTCCTATAATTATTATCAGTCCTAAAGAAATGGACTCGTTAAAGAAATGTCTTTGTGCTGTGAGTATAAAAACAACATTTAAAACCTAAAGGGAAAAGTAGATTGGGCAGGATGAGGGGTAGATGAAGATGAAATGAGGATCCGTGCTTTAATGCATCTGCAATCTTTAGTTATGTTTTAACTTTATGGTTCTTTGCCTGCAATGTTTATAGAGCAAGAATAGATTATTTCAGCCAGAAGNGGATCCGTGCTTTAATGCATCTGCAATCTTTAGTTATGTTTTAACTTTATGGTTCTTTGCAGGATACTTAAGTCCAAAAAGAGCAATAAATTTGTTTCTTAAAGCATTTAGTTGTCTTGTAGATTACTATGTGGGATTTGGCCAGTGGAAAACTTCTAAGATCAATAACAGATGCTCATCCTCCAGGAACAGCAATATTGCATATTAAGGTAATATCTTTGTTTTCTTTTTCTAATAACTTATTATTATGCCTTTGTATCTGTTTTTAAGTAAATTTTTTTATAAAGAGAATTCCTGAAAGTAAACTGTCTTTTGTTTGACTAGCCCAATACGATGTTTTCCCAAGTGAAAAACCAGAGGTGGGCCAGTATGGTAACATTCAGCTGCAAGTTGTATTGATGTCTAATAGATATAGCAGAAAAAGAGTAAATTAACGTGATTCTAGATAAGAGGTTGGCAGCAAAGACAGGTGGTACCCCAATGAAAACTCATGTGACGATTTTAAGAGGTCTTTTTACCTTTTGTTTAGTCTACCGAGATTTCATTGCTGAGATAGTGTGCTTGGTCACACTTTGTTGGGAGATGCCTGAGGTTCAAGGCACCAACTGTGAATCAATGTTTGCATTATGTTTAGAAATGAATCTGTTGGTTTATTTTCTTTCAGACCTCTAAAGGAAAAGCATTACAATTTGAGTCTTGGGCTTCCTCCTTATAGGCCTGAAAAAAATAAACCAACTTAGGTAACAGATTTTATTTATAAATACAGTGTAAACCTTGGTTTTTGTATGCTGTCAAGCCCGTGTTCAGAAGCATAAAAAGTAAAGGACTATAACTAGGGAAGTCTAAAATTAGATTTTCTAGATTTTAATCAGGTACACATTTGGTTGCTTAGCTGTGCAGACCTCTCTTATCCATACATATGCTTTTTAAAGTCTGCAAGCATCTGGAGTTTATGTGTCTGTATCTAGGTTAGTTACATAAAAGTCTTTTGTAAGAAAGCAGCATTGAAGCGTTTGGCAACAGTGAAAACAACCAAGACAGGTAAAAGTAGAGAGAATTTCTTTTCTTTCTGAACATCATGGCACTTTATGTTGACCTTTTTTTCATAGGGCATGTACCAACTCCTAATATGTTATAGTTATTTGTGTTTATGTTTTATCTCCTTTAATAGAATAAGATATTTGAAACCAGAATCTGTTTCTCATTTATTTTTGTGTTACGCATAGTAGCTGCTCAATAAATGTTTGGTTGAAGGAATAATTAGTTGGTGGTGTTTATGAAAGCCCAATCCATTTGCAGAAAAAAAGCATACCCTTTGGGAGAAACAGTAGGAAAAAAACTATAAAGGCATAGAGGAAAGAGAAGAATGCAGCTGGGGTTAAAAGCATAATAGTTATAGCCATCATGTTGCTTGGAAATGGTGATAAAAGTGGTGCATGCAGACTTGTGACATTGAAGAAAGGGATGGCAAGAGATATGTATGATTAGATACTTCTGAAGTTTTAGATTGACAATAGCCACTTGTCCCTCAATATTCTTACTCATTGTTCTCCAAACTTAAGCCAACATCCCATCGATAACAGTTTGGGCTTGCATATTTTTATTTATTTATATATTTTAAAATTATATGAACATACTATACTAATATTTAAATACATTGTAAAACACATACACAAGAAATAGATAATTAATAAATAAAAGGACGAGTCTTGTTATTTTTCCTACACTCTGGGGTATGCGCATCCCACTTTGGCAACTGCTCAGCTAGGCTTTGAGAGCAAAAGTGTGGGACTTCTTTATGCCTGTGTGTGGTGTCGAGGAGGAATAATTTCATGGTAGCCTCCTGTGCCTGAACCATCCCTGACTAAGAGCATGAAGGCATGCCATTTAGGAGGGTTCACCCACCATTGGGTTAGAGAGACTAGTCACTGTATACGATACAAGTTAAGTTATTCAATTTTGTATTGTACAAATCCACATTTGCCATACCTCATAAGCCCATAGGATAGTCTGTCACTGTGAAAGTCATTTGTTACTTTGAGTTTTCCAGGGTAAGTAATAACAACTGAGGTATACTTGGTCAAAGAAGAGCAAGGAGGCAGCACATTTTAGGAATAGTTATATAAAAAGTTAAGCTATTTTAAGTATAATGGATTCTCTCCTCAGTTATTTAGAAAGCATATTCAGACAGGTGTGTTCCCCAAAGGTACCAGATATCTTTTATTGTGTCTTTATTCTTGAGAACAAGGCAACTGCGAATGTATCCAGATTATCTTGTTCAGTTTAATAGCAAGTTAGAAAAAGTCAATGTAAAAACCCAAGTAGAGAACTTTAGGGCTTCTATGAATTATAGTTTGTATTTTTCTTTTATTGTAAGGATGGTTTTGCTTTTTTAAAGTCATGGACTTTTAAAGATATTGAGCCATTTTTATTCTGAATATGTGTAAGTTTGTGTGTTTAGAGTGATAAGCTAAGTCTAGCTAAAGTGATTTCAATGCTAAATGTGTTTGTTTTAGATTTTTAAAAATTCATAATTTCCCCCCTTACCTCCTTAACACTTGACTAGTTGTTCAAAAATCTACAAGAAAATAATTTTTTTCTCTGTTTAGTTTACAGATGATCCAACTCTTGCAATTTGCAATGACAGTGGAGGCTCTGTTTTTGAATTGACATTTAAGTAAGAGACTAATGGACATTTGTTGACAAATGAAAAGACTAGCTCTGGTTAATGACTTGAAGTTGAACATGAAGAAGTCTGGAAAACCCATGTAATTGAAAATAGGTTATGGCTCTGTATTACAGTGACCTGGGGAGGCTCACAGAACATAAGAGTTCCAGGCCTGCCCCCCCAATTTCTGTGGTAGTAGGTTTGAATTGGGATTCTAAACTACTCTCCAGGGGATTCATATGCACTGTCAGGCTTGAGAACCTGGAGTATTTCACTAATTTTGGTTTGGATCTCAGGCCCAGTTGATTATAAAACCATAATAGCCAGTCGTCGGAAAGTTTTTATTGCCTTGGAATTGCCCCATTTATTCTTAAAAGAAGAGCAAAGACTGTCTAGATAACATGGAAGAACACCTATAAAGCTGAGTTTAGAAAAATAGAATATAAAAGTCAATGTGTATTATGTTTTCATAAGTTCTTTAAGGACTGTATGTTTTTTGTATTTCTTATATCTTCTAACAATGCTGAGCCCAATGTAATTGCTTAAAAAATACTATTTATTTGTTCAGCTGATGTTTATTAAGCATCTCCATGTGTAGCCATCGTCCTAGGCATCAGAGTTGCAGCAATGAACCAGATAAGGCTGCTACTCTGATAGATCTTACTACATTCTAGTTGGGGTGAGGGTAGGGATACAGACAATAGACCAACACACAAATGAAATAATTTAATAGTTATGAATGCTGTGAAGAAGATAAGACAGGTCAGTGTGCTGGAATGCACTTGAGGATAATTCAGGAAGCCTTCTCTCAGAAAACGACATTTGAGCAAAGACCTGAATGATAATATGGTCAACAAATGTAAAGATCTGAAAGAAATGTTTCAGGCAGGGGGCCATTGGAGCACAAAAGCTTTGATGAGATGGGCACAGACTTGGCCTGCTGGAGCAGCAGAAAGAAGACAGGTGTGGCTGGAGCATGACTTTGTCAAGAACAACAGTAGTGGGTGATGGGTGAAGGCTGGAACCAGATCATATAGGGCCTTTTAAACCATGGTAAAAAGTTTGGACTTTATTTTATGTACAGTGGCAAGCCATTAAAGTGTTTTTAGAAGAGTAATAAATCTGACCTATACTTTAAAAAGATCATGCTGATGTCATGTGGAGTTTGAATTGTTGGGGGCAAGAGTAGGAGTTAGGAGGCTATTGTCATAGCCCAAGCTAGAGATGATAGTGCCTTGGGTCATTGCTAAATCAATTCTGAATTTTTTGGTTACATTTTCAGGAGAGTGATGGGAGTGAGAACCTGTGAATCTAGATGCCTCTTCAGTGGTTCCAAGGGTGAAGTGTGCTGTATTGAGCCTCTCCATTCTAAGCCTGACTTGAAAGATCATCCCATCACACAGTTTTCCTTACTGGCCATGGCATCCTTAACCAAGGTAGATGTATTTAGAAGATGAAACTCAAAACTTTTAGAGGCTTTGAATACCAAAATACTTGAAAATGACAGGATAAATATTAAAAAATATTTTTCTCTTAAAGATACTGGTCATTGGGTTGAAACCATCCTTGAAAGTGTGGATGACTTTTCCCTATGGACGGGTGAGTAAGCCTCTCCATCTTATTAGCAAAAAGACCATATCAGGAGGTTGGAGAAAATGACTTTTCAGTGGTGAATTCTGTGAGATTGCCATAACTGGAAGTCAGTTCTCCAAAAATTATTGTCTGGACTTACCTTTATGTGACCAAAGCAGCTTAAGCTGTTGACTAGAGCAGTGTTCTGGGGATCTTGAGATCTGAACTTTTCTACCTTTATTGCTTTAAGTTTTTCAGCTGCTGCTTAGATATTGAACTTGTAGAAAACACCCCACTGTAATATCCAGCATATATTGCTACTGCATACTCTTTCCTAGGCTTCTGACTCTGGTACTTTACTTTGGGGGATGATACTTCCCAGAATGTGTTATGCACACCCAGTTTCCCTTTTCTTTCCTGCTTGGTTGTTTTCAGAGAGTTGTGGTCTTCCAGTGTGTATGTTAGGAGAAGTAACATACATGGGATGGGATGGAGAATGATGGCACAGAACTAAGACTAGTTCAGAAATCAACCCTTATACTGAGGGAGATCACTCTTCTGTTTTCTTCTTGGTACTCTGTGTATCTCTGGGCCCCAGTGGAAGCCTGGCAAAGCTGCCTTAGATTGCTATTAGTGTTTCTTAGGTTAGCTATATTGGCTAATTGAGGTTTATCATGGTGGTTTGTATTTGCATCTTTTTGTATGTTTTTATTGGTATTTGTTCCAACATTTTGCTATGAACATTTTTATTTATTTTATTTTTTTTAAATCTCTTTTTTTTAAAAATCTATCTTTATTGATTTCAGAGAGAGGAAAGGAGAGAGAGAGATAGAAACATCAATGATGAGAGTCATTGATCGGCTGCCTCCTGCACGCCCCTGATTGGGGATCGAGCTCGCAACCCGGGCATGTGCCCTGACCGGGAATCGAACCCTGTTCACCTGGATCCTAGGTCGACGCTCAACTGCTGAGCCATGCCCCGCCAGGCTGGACATTTTTAAACAAATAGAGAAGTTGAAAAAAATTTACATTGAACATCTATATACATACCATCTAAACTCTGTAATTAATATTTTACTGTATTTTTTTTACTATATATCCATCTCTTCATCTATTCATCAAATTATTTTTTTATTTATTTTTAAGTAAATTTCAAAAATCATTCTTTTTCCTAAATATTCAGCGTATATGATGAGCTAGAGTTCAATAGTTATCTAAGTTTTTCCTTTCATATAAAATTTATATATGCACAGATCTTGAGTGTACATTTGCTGAACTTTGACAAATGTATATACTTTTGTTACTCAAACCTCTATCAAGATGTGGAACATTACCATCAACCCAGAAAGTTTCCTTGTGACACTTCCCAGTCATTCCCTGCTTCGTTGGCCTTTTAATGAGAAATTGGAAGAAGTTTTACTAAGGAACACCAGTCAGGTGGTGTTTTTAATCAGTTTTCTCAAATGTCTGTTAACTGATGACATTTTTGGCCTTCTCCTCACTTAGATGGACCCTTCTAGTGTCCCACTGCTGGCTTGGCACTTTGTGGCGGCTCATAATTATGTGAATCCCATGCTTGCTTTCTGCAGAGGGGATGTTGTTCATTTCCTTTTGGTAAGTCCTAATATGATGCTAGATCTGTTACAAAGTCCTTTATCAAAATATTTTTTTTTTCTGATTCATCAATAATTTAATTGTGTTGAAGAAATATGATATCATAATTATTTGAAGAGAGAGTGACCTACTTAATTATTATATAAGGCTTTAATGGTTAATGTGGAAAACAACTGATTGCCCTCTGCTCTGTGCCCTTTCATGGTGTGTTTCTCAGTTCCATCTCTTGACAAACAAATAATTAATGGTGTTTGTGTATGTAATGGTGTTTGTGTTTGTGTATGTAATGGTGTTTGTGTGTGTATATACATATGTCTATATTAATGGCTTACTTATTTACATGTTGTGTCATTGAATACCTGCTGTGTTCTCTACACTGTGATGGACATAAGACGCAATTGAAGGAAGTATAAACCCTAAAATATTGTTTGAAAGGCAACATCACTTTGCTCATTACTACTGGGGAGAACAGTTTAAGGATGCAACTATGTGATGAGATTAAAAGTTGGTATGTTTAGAGTATGAAGAGATTTGTATGGATTAGAGAAGCCATGGAAAACGTTATGAGGGATATATTGCAAATACTGTAGGGGGTGGTGGATATGCTAATTGGGGGAAATAAGATGAACTGAAGTTTATAAAGAAGAACGTGCCTGTGTAATCTCTTCCTGGGTTTCCTAGCTCAGTTAAGCAAGTGCAACACTGTCCACCTAATTTCTCCTGCTGGAAATCTAGGAATTGCCTTTTAGTTACCCTTCTCCCTTCTTTTCTGCTCCATCACCACATCCGTTGACTCTATCTCCAGAATCTCCTTAATTTACTCTCTTTATGTCTCCCCTATTGCTTCTTCCTTAGGCTAAACCACAGACATTTTTAGCCTGGGCTCTGGAGTAGCTTTCTAACCAGTCTCTGGCTTCAGTGTCTTAACATGCTATCACCTCTACCGGGAAAACTCTGTGCTCTCTTCCCCTCTATCTACCTCCTGATTAACACTGCCCTCCCCGACCTCCTGAACTCAGTTAGTGTTGCTGCATACACCCGTGAAGCTTCCTCCTTTGATAACATTCAGTACTTTTTAAATAAGTTGTCTAATATTTTTCTTCCTCATTGGACTGAAAGCTCCATAAATCTAAAAACCAACTCTACTGCTCTGTTTCAGCCACTAGGACAGTGCCTGTGTATAGATGTTTAATAAATGTTTATAGAATTAATGACAGGGAGAAACCTATTGTGGAAAACAAAGTTGAAAATATGGCATGGATCTAGATTAGGGCTTGGCAAACTATGGCCTGTGTGCCAAATCTGGCTGGCTCCTTGTTTTTGTAAGTAAAGTTTTATTAGAACACAGTCATGCCCATTCACTTATGTATTATTTGTGGCTGCTTTTGCACTGCAGTGGCAGAGTTGAGTAGTTGTGAGTAGTTGTAAAATATTTACTGTGTGGCCTTTTACAAAAAAGTTTCCTAACCCCTGATCTGGATTATGTATAATTGACCTAGATTGGTAATGGGGAGCCATCATGGGTTCTTAGGTAATTAAAATGATAAAAGATGTGATTAAGCCCGGCCAGGCGTGGCTCAGCGGTTGAGCATCTACCTGGGATCCAGGTGATCAGGGTTCGATTCCCGGTCAGGGCACATGCCCAGTTGTGGGCTTGATCAATGACTCTCTCATCATTGATGTTTCTGTCTCTCTCTCCATATACTTTCCTCTCCCTGAAATCAATAAAGATATATTTTTAAAAAAAGAAAAAAAGAAAAAAAAAAGATGTGATTAAAATGATATTTTAGGAAGATCATTATAGAAATAGCAAAACAAATAGATTGTAGGAGGGGAAAAGGGAGGTTTTGCTTTTGTAATAAAGCAGATGTGAGGTCTTTAGACAAGGATGGTTGGTTGTAGTGAGAGTTAGGGATAACATTTGGAAGGAAAAACAAGGCTTCTCATATTGTTGGATCTGGGAACTGAAGGACATGAACGAAGCATCTCATTTTTGAGTTTACATTTTAAAAGCATGAAATATTCAAAGAGTTAAAGTCAGGAAAATTTTAAGTGTGCTGAGTTAGAAGTGAAGGTGTTGAGAGTTAGAACTCTCAAGTGTTGTATTGGGGAATGTCCTGGGCAGATGTCAGTCTAGGTCTGGAGTACAAATAAGAATTCCAGGATAGAGAAGGTAGTTGAAACTGTGAAAATCAAAAGCTAGAGCATACGTAACTTTAGTGAACACTCATACAAGGGAAAGGATAAATAAAAAGCAACAGGAAAGGAGGTTCCTATAAAGGCATGTAGAGGTAGGAGGCAAAATTGGAGAGTACTGCATCATACTGGAGACCAAAGAGGAGAGGTTTCAGGACAGTATCAATTTCAGAGTGATGCAATACCAAAGAAGGATCAAGGAAGAAGACCAAAGATAAGACCACTGGATATGCAGGAATTAGTTCATTAGAAACTTTTCAGACAACTAATTATCAAGGGAATGTAGGTAGAGCTAGATTATAGAGCCTTGTTAAAGAAATGGGCATTCAGAAGAGCAAACTGACACAATCATAGCAATAGTTACATCTCTGTAAGAAGTAAATCAAGGGAAGGGTTTTGTTTTTTATTTGAAGATAGAAAAGCCAGTAACATGTTAGACAGCAAGAGGAAAAGGGCCCTTAAAAAGGAGTGATTAAATATGATATCAAGGGAGGGGTAGTCATAAACAGTGATGGGCGTAGGATTTAGAGTATATATAGGTGAAATGATTTTCTTTAGCAAGGACTTCAGCAAATCTTAGTCAATGTTGGCATTGATCTTTTCGATTATGAAACACTTTCAACACATGCAAGATATGGAACAATTTGGTGCTGTCTTATTTTAATTTTACAAATGAAACAGAAGGAATAAGTGATTTGCCCTTGGTCATACAGCTATAGTAGTGGAACCTATTCTTAAACCCATGGCTCTAGATGCCATGCTTCTGTCTTACAGGAGAAGTGATTTAGGGAAGTGACTTAGGGAAGTGAAGATGGGAGTACACGAAAGGCCCACATTAAGTGGTGTCAGTTGTTTGTTAAGGTATCTGGTGAGGTGAACACTGCATTGATGGAACTAGAAGGCAAAGAGGAATTGGCACTTCAAGGGAAAGGGAGAAATCTAAAACACTATCCTGGGGGAGCGTGCAAGAAAATTCAGGCTGAACTGAATGTCATGAATTTCAGGCGGGTCAGCTGTACATTGTACTCTGTCTCTCTTCTTCAGTGCCCTATCCCCTTGGAGCAGAAGTGGAGAAAGCAAATTATAAGGATGATTGAAGATTATAGAGTATATGTGTACACACATATAAATAAAATATTGACACTGAGGTTCTTTGGAGAAACTTTGTGTTGTTTGTGCTGTAATAGTATTACATATCAGAGAAGTCTAGTTTTGTCACTGCACCAGCTTTTTTTCTTTCAATGAATTTTTGTTTGACTTTTCACACCAAGTCACCATCCTATTTTATGCTTTAACTCTAACTAAATACAGTCAGTGGTACATTGAAGTTAGGTTGTTCTGAATTATGACAGTCTGGATATTACATTACAGAATTTGCTCATACTGACAGCTAAATCACTGACCAGATATGTCTTGGATTTTGGTACAAATCATGGTGTGATGATTTCTGTAATTTGTGTAGTAGTTTCTTTAATTATCAGTATTTTTGGCTTATCCATACTCTGAATGGAAACAATTTTCTAGGTGGAGCATAATTAAGTATCTAAAATTGTCCCTCAAAAATTAACCAGAGTACTTACACGCACATATCCATAATGCAGGAACACAGACAATAGTGTGGTGAAGGGCTGGGGTAGGGGAGGGAGCGGGGTGGAGGGCATCAATGGGGGGAGAAAAGGGGACATTTGTAATACTTTCAACGATAAAGATAAATCTTTTAAAAAGTCTCTCAAATAATAGCTGATGTTTTGGTTGTTTTTATTTCATCAGGTTAAGAGAGATGAATCTGGAGCAATACATGTTACTAAGCAAAAGCATCTTCACCTATACTATGACCTCATCAACTTTACTGTGAGTATTCAAATTAACTACCCCCATTTATTGCATGTAATTGTTTTGAGTCCATGGTATAGTAAAGCTGTCAGGGTTTCTGCCATGAAACATGCCTTTAGGATATATGAAACATGGACAGAAGTGAAGTCTTGCTTATATTGAATAAAGCCTGAGTTTGGTGTGATGCCACATTATTTTTCTTGTCTTTCGGCCTTATGTCTTGCTAAACAAAAGTTTTCTTTAATGTACTAATTAGCTCAAAGGGGAGTTTAGAAGAATTTAGGTGGATTTCTTCAGGATCATTGCCGGACTTTCTTTGTAAACATATTTTTATCCTTTTGAGTTTGTCCTAATTGGTTCAGGAACTTACATAACCTACTCTTTTCTTGTGGCTAAAAACTTTGCAGAGTTTTTGCTCTACCATACATCTCAGTCCTAGGTGACTTTTTGGTGTAAAAAAAATAGTATATTTCTTTTTGTGTCAATTTTTTCTTTTTCTAAATAGTGTGTTAATTCTATAATAGTACAATTATAATATTTCTGGGTTTCTCTCGTTAGTGCTTTTAGCATATCAATATCTGGTACCCAGTGAAACATTCTTTAGATATATGAATATAGGCAACCCTAAATATAAGACAGTGCCTCATTTTTCCAATAAAAAGGCTAGAAAAAGTTTTACCTCCAATTTGATAAAATGAAACTTTTTAGGATTATAGATGAAATAGATCTTTATTATATAAGATTTATAAATTTAGTTGCACATTGCTTTTTAATCTCACATTAGATTATTGATTTAGAAATAATGCTTTTTCTTATACACATTTCATGAAATAACTTTGTTCAACCTCTCGTCATGCATATAAAACATCAGTGTCTTTGTCATTGTCAGAACCCCTTGTTGAATCATCTAACACAGTTTTCTAGAATTCATCATCACTTCTGTTTAAAATCAGCATATGATTCTTTCCCTAGAAAATTTTTCCCCAACCACAAGTAGCTGTTCTCCTTGTCCTGTGGCTTATCTATGATGTGACCACTAACTGTAAATTACCTTGAAAAGGCTGTTTACAACAGTGTCAACACTCGTAATTATGAGATTCTAACCTCAGGAATAATTGCTAAACTGCAAACTTTTTCCCTCTGTGATTCTCCCTCTGTTTTAATCAGGTAATCTTTGAAGGTATTTAAAAACTATTACTGACTGAGGTTGTATAAGGCTAATAAAAAAATGTGACTTTCCTAAATGATACTTTGTTTTTCAAAGTGATCAAGAGCACAACTTATAGGAGCTCTTTGTAAAAAATTTGAGTATCAAACTCTGTTTTCTGAGAGAGATTTTTTTGAAAGAAACATACACGCACACACACACAAACAGAAAAGCAAACCCTCCCCTTATAGTAGCTACTATACAGTGATAGAGCATATCTTCAGCAAATGTCAAAAGAAAATTGATGTATTTTTAAATTGGTTGTCATTGATATGGCATGCAGATAACCTTTGATAACATGGGATAGACCACATAAATAAAGCAACATGAATACCAGGGAGATAACATGCAGGGGAATTAGTTTGCTCCCTCTAATTTAGAATTCTAATTGAGCAGATATTAAAACTTAATTTCTTGGGAGGGATTGAGATTTAAAAAAATATATTTTGAAAATCTCATACATAAACCCAAGACATTTATCAAAATCGCATCCTTCAGAAGATTTTAAAACTATTATGTAGTTATTATTTTAAAAGTTATAATAGTACTTATTAAAGAAAATTCAGAAGATATAGAGAAATAAATCAAAGAACTCTCCTAAGAATTTTAGGGAGATTTTGAAGGAAATGTATTTTTTTAATAGCTTTGGTTTTAAAATATGTATCACTTAAATGCCAGCAATCATCCTTTGGCCACATAGGTTTATGAGATTTAATTTGCCTTTTTGTTTCATTGATGTCAGTTTGTCACTTTGCTTAAGTTATTTGTGCCAATGTACCTTTGAAAAAATTTTATAAAAGCCAATATATCCTGTAATATATGTATTAGAGATCTTGTGAGCCTTCTTTCAGACTGGGAGAGTGTAATTTTAGCACTGTCAAACTCAATACTGTGTTGTGTTCCTGTTGTTCTCTGGGCTGTTTACTGAGTAGTTCTTGCTGTGATTGCATTGTTATCAAGTTATTAAGTGGATAAGGTCCTCAATGTATTTAACTGAGTAGCCAACCTTTCTTCTTGTCCTGAATGATGGCATGGGATGGGCCTCACTTTTGTTTTGTTGTGTGTTTGAATTGCAGTGGATAAACTCACGCACAGTTGTACTCTTGGACAGCGCCGAGAAGTTGCATGTGATTGATCGGCAAACTCAAGAGGAACTGGAAACAGTGGAGATCTCAGAAGTTCAGCTGGTCTATAATAGCAGCCATTTCAAATCACTAGCCACCGGAGGAAATGTTAGCCAAGCACTGGTAAGGGTAGCCCATTATCCTAGTATTGACTTGATAAACATGGTATTTTGTTGCTGTTTTGTTCTAGAAATAGAAACTCTGAGGAGTTTTGTTTCTTGAGGTATTTCTTTAGAAGCCACTAGATTGAAGTGGACATGGGTGTGTTTTTAAGTATTCAGGAATGTGAACTAAAACAATAATTCCTGTTACTTTCTATCCAGAAATATGACTAATTTAATGCCAAAGAGTTTTAACTTTTATACTAAGATAATAAAATGAAATTGGAAATTTATGAGAAAGAAATTATAAAAGTAAAATATTTTAGAAAGTTTAATATGGTGACAATAAAGCTAATAGATTTAAGGGGTAAATGACTAGTGACAGGTAACCTATGAGGCTTTGAACAGGTCTGGTGGTTGTGGGAATTAAAAGGCAAAGATGGCTTTGAGAGAAAGAAAGAAGATTCTTTAGGAGTAGGAGATAGATGAAATGTTGGTGCCTGGAGAGAAGGAAGACATGAAAATTACGATCTTAGTATTAATTTTACTGTATTTTAAATAACTATAATAATAGGCGTTAGCAATTTACAAAGATTGTTTACAGTTAAATTACTTTGAATTGTTATCTCATGTTTCCTTAATCTTTAAGTAGGAAATTAGACTATTTTGAGGCTTCCCTGGGTAATTTCTTGAGAAAAATAGTAATGATGGTCATGTTCAGTGAGTGTTTGCTGCATGATATGAAGCCATTGCTCAAGTCTCCCTGAGATATTAGAACCTCAGAGCATAAAATATGAAAGGGTCTTCCAGCCTCAGAATTTAGAAACCAAAAAAATCCAGAGTAAGAATAATATAACGGAATGGAATTCTCTAAAGTAAGAATAATTACTGTCTCACCCTTAGATGTTTTCTGGTGTCTGAGTGGTTATTAAAAATACCTTAAAGTATTTTTTTTAAGTCAGACTTTAAACTTGTGCTTTTGGCTAAGATAAAATAATGGGAACTGGATTTACTCTCCTGTCTGGGAAAAAAAGAAATCAGAAAAAGAAACAACAGTTTCAAGACACTGGATATCAGGTAATGAAGGGCAGCAATCCTTGACAAAATGGGAAACAAATGACATGAGCCCTATGAGTATCCCAGTGTCTATCCTTGAGAGAGTTTCCATGTAGCTAATGGGGGAGGAAACCGGTTGGAGCTCGGAGTGTTCCATGAGTTGAGACAGAGCTGAGGCTGCAGGAAGCCAAAGGTGGGCTGAACAGGCCAGAGTACTGGTGAGGAGAGCACTATACAAAGGTTCCCCTTGGGTATTCAGCAAACTGCTAATTACTAATCAATAGATGCATGTGAGGAAACTACCCAAGACCAGGGAAAGAAATATATGTAAGATTTCAAAGAAGCTATAGCCAGTGCTCACACTGGCCGTTTACACCAGCCAGATGGAAAACCTCATGATTCACAGCGCATTGTGTAGAGTACTCAGGGCATCTTGCCTCAGTAGGGAATTATCAGAAGTAGAGTAGACACTGCTCTCATCCCCACTAAGAAATCTTAAAAACAAGACCAGAAAGGATCAAACTGTTTCCAAGTAACAACTCTTCCCAGAGCAAAGCACAATATTAATAGGAATACAGAAGTTTCCAGGACCCAACACTGTGAAATTCACAATGTCTGCCATCCAATCAGGGATTACTAGGTATGCAAAAAGGAGAAAAACACAGCTTATAATGAGGAGAAATATCCATCAAAACTGACTTAAACTTGAAACAGATGTTAGAATTAGCAGGCAACGACGTAACAGTTATAATTATAGTCTGTATGTCCAAAAAGTTAAGTAGAGACATGGAAGATATTAAAAGATGTAAATCTAATTTCTAGAGACAAAACTAAAGTGCTTGAGATGAAAAATACACTGGATATGAAGTAAAAACTAACAAAATTGAAAGGAGAAAGAGACAAATGCACAATTATAGCTTGGAAAATTTAAAACTCCTCTCTCAGTAATTAATAAAATTAGTAGACAGAAAATCATTAAGGGTATAGAAGACTTATAAAAACACTGTTGATCACCTTGACCTAACTGACAGTTATAGAATATTCCACCCAATAGAAGCAAAGTACAAGTTTTTTCCAAGTGCACATGGAACATCCACCAATATAGATTATATGATAGGCCATAAAAGAAGCTTCAACAAATTATTGAAGGAATCATCAGGGTCACTTTGGAGATAACTCAAATATTTGGAAATTAAATATCATTTTTATAAACAAACCATGAGTCAGAAAAAAGTCTTCAAAGGAAATTAGAATATATTTTGAACTAAATGAAAGTACAATGTATCAAAATCTGTGATCTACAATTAAATCTGTTTTTTAAAAATTTATCCTTATTGTTAATACTTACAAAGTATTAATGTATATCCCCCCTTTGACCCCCCTCCGCCCCACACTTTGAGGGTAATATATAGCATTAAATACTAACATTAGAAAAGAAGAAAGATCTCAAATAAGTGATCTAAGCTTCTAACTTAATTAAGAAAATTTTAAAAAAAGAGCAAAATAAACTTAAAGTAGATTAAAGGAAGAAATAATAAAGATGAACACAAATCAATTAAATAGAAAATGGACAAACTATAGAAAATCAAAGAAACCCCCTCACTTATGGGGCGAAACCATGTTGACCTAAAATGTTGTCTCTGTAATTGACATTCTTTAAAACATAATGAGACTTCTAGTTCATGTAATCTTTACCTTTTTGGTTTATTTTTTTACAGGCTTTGGTTGGAGAGAAGGCTTGCTATCAATCCATCAGTAGCTATGGTGGACAGATCTTTTACTTGGGGACCAAAGTAAGCTCTTCCACTGTTACTTGGCATTTGTTTGTGTCAGGATGGTTGGGGCTGAAGGAGGTTGCTTGTGAGGAGGGCAGTGCATTACAGAGGGAATATTGATTAGTAGTAGTCTAAAACTTTTAGGGGTTATAGTCATGATTTTTAGCTAATTATTTTCTACACTTTTAGCCACACTTTTACTTTTGTTTAGATTCTAATAGGATGCTTATTTTCTTGATTCAGGGATATACTTTTATACTCTTTCTTCACATTTTTCATGTCCTGGAAGATACCTTATCATGTATATTTATCATATAATTAAGATGTCCTTTATTAGATCAGCTTAGGATATATTCATTAACTCCTTAGACTGTAGACTTATTAACCTTTAAATGTTTGTTTGATTTACTCCTTAATGTGGGCCCTTGAAGACCCGTTAGTAAATACTTCTAACTGTAGCATGAAATGTTTTTACTTAAAGAGATGTAAAATGAGATGTCGGACAGGGGCAAATGTGTCTTCTAACAAGTTTGTTAAAGATGTTCATTTTGCCCGGCCAGGCATGGCTCAGTGGTTAAGCGTCGACCTAGGTTCCAGGCGATCAGGGTTCGATTCCCGGTCAGGGCACATGCCTGGGTTGTGGGCCACAGCCGATCAATGACTCTCTCATCATTGATGTTTCTAGCTCTCTCTCTCCCTCTCCTTTCCTCTCTCTGAAATCAATAAAGATATATTTAAACAAACAAAAAAAAGATGTTCATTTTAATTTCCTTCTCTTTGTTTTCCAGTCTGTTTATGTGATGATGCTGAGGAGCTGGAGAGAGGTGAGTTCAAAGTAATTTTATGTGTTGTTGAATTGATAACATCTTAATGTTTTGTTTTAACTTTGCCAAAAAAAGATTATTTGGATTTGTGCTTTTTAATTTCAGAAATGTACATCAAAACCATTGTAACTGTTAGGTACTTGATTTTATAAAACTCACTATAAATTAGAATTAGGTTTGGCTACATACATAAGAAATTTCAAAATAACAGTGGCTTCAACTGTTGCTTCAAATTTCAACAGTGGCTTCAAGCTTTCTCTCTTACATAAAAGCATCTTGGAGGTAGGCAGTATGTGCCTAGTGTGGCAGCTCCATGGTCTTTAGTATACTATTCTGTTCCACCATCCTTGTTGTGGACTCTAGTCCCAGGGTCTTTTTATGTTTCAGTAGGGCTGCTAGAGGTCCAGCTGTTAAGTCCACATTCCAGGAAGAAGGAAAGAGAAGAGAAGGGCTGGCCCCTGCCTTTTAAGGTGACATCCCAGAAATACCAAACAACACTTCCACTTACTTATCATTGGCTAGAACTTAGTCACATAGTCCCAAGTGACTATAAGGGAGTCTTAGAAATGTCCTTTAGCTGGTTTATTGCTGTCTCAAATAAACTTGGGATTTGTTATTAAGGATGAGGGAGTGAAAGGATGTTGTGATAAGCAACTAACCATTTCTGTTACAGTGACATTCTAGTTGTTTTCTCTTTTTATATTTGGGCCTTGTGGCTGACAATATAGCATACTAGCTTATTCAGTCACTGTACTATCTAGTGCTTTGAGAAATTACTTTTCTCAGAAATGAGATATTCACATGGTTATTAGAATAATTGTAGCTACAAAGCAGCAACTTCTGGAAAGATATTAGGTAGAATAGGAATTTTGACTTGTGATTGGTCAGACAAAGGGGTCTAGCTTCTCTCATTTATTCACCTTAGAGAGTGGATCATCTCCTGAAACAAGATTGTCTTACAGAAGCCTTGGCTCTTGCATGGTCTTTCCATGAAGGAAAAGCAAAAGCGGTTGTGGGTAAGTTAGCAATACTGGTGGAGTAGACATTTTTCTGAAATAGAATGAGTAATACTGATCACTCATAGAACACTTTTTAGCTTAATGTTTAAGTATTTTATAAGCAATATATTACCAGACCTTACAGATTTCAGTGAAAAAGGTTAATGATAAATACAGGATGTAGAATTTTAATTGTCACTTTTAAAATTCTTTCATTCCATAAGGAAAATTTACTATTAGAGTAATAGGGAAGTACTTGATATGCTTGCTATCTGGTTCAGTAGATGTGAGGTGTTCCTATGATAGCATATTATCCAACATTTTGATACCTAAGGATTGTTATAAATATATGTATTGTTAGCACAACTTATGACCAGAACAGTTTCATTCCTGAAAGTGTGGTTTAACTTTGTTATCATTTGGAATTTGCTTGTAGGATTATCAGGGGATGCCAGTAAGCGAAAGGCTGTTGTTGCAGATCGAGTGAGTATTTTAATAGGGTCTTTACTAGGGTACAGCACAGATTTGCTTTGAGTATTTGCTAATAATCTTAGGGCATGATTAGGTAAATGGCTACAGTCAAGGAGGCCATGTATAAAAAATAGCAAGTCAGACTATAATTCCCTGGTGTAATCTTGAGTGTTTTTTAAATTAATTTTTATTACCTTTTTTCCCCCTTGTTCACTCTTTTAAGAAGATGATAAAGTAGTAAAATAGTCTTTTGGCTATTTTAGGAAGAAGGCTGGAATCTGGATTATTTCTGAACCTAATTATAGCCCATAAAAAGTTGACATTTAGTATTTTTTATAAACCGATTAGTAATTATGAGAAATATATATGCAAGTGTGTGTGTTACTTAAGGTAATACAGAGGGCTGATGTTTTATTATTATTACTAATTAGCATTAATCTGATTAATGCTAATATTTACTATTGGCTGTTTTCTTAGTCTAGACTTGGTTGAATTAATTTACTGTACTCATTTCTTTCCCTTTTTAATGTGCAAGTGCATTGGTAAAAATTATATTACAAATTAGTTTAAATATTTAGAAAATGAAAGTGGTCATCTTTAGACACACAAATGATTTTTCTCAGTATCTGCTAAAATATTTAGGGTTCTGTATTCTATCTGTGTTCTTTAGGGAAAGACTTACAGCAGAGGATTACTGAAGAGTTTAACTTCAGTTTTTCAATTTCTGGATGACATAGATACTACTAAGGTCTCTAGCACCTGGAGATATTTTTAGAAAAGATTAGCAAATTAGTACTAGCCCTGAGGCTGAAAGAATTTATGCTAGAGTTTAAGAAATTGGAAAATAAAGCCACTCTATTTTTACATTATATTTTTAATATAATAACAAAGCCTGTTTCTGTATTATTTAGGGGAATCACATATATTAGGTATTGAAAAACTTTAGAGATATATTTTAACTTCTATACAAGGCTATTTTCCTTACAGATGGTAGAAATCCTATTCCATTATACAGATCGAGCTCTGAAAAAGTGCCCAGACCAGGGAAAAATCCAAGTGATGGAGCAGCATTTTCAGGTACACCTTTGCATGTGCTTCTAATAGCCATTGGTATGAATAGTTCTAACATTGCTCTTTCCTATTACTTGAGAATGGAACTTTCATGGTTTGTTTAAACAATTTTCAGTATTTAAAGCTTTATTTCAGAGCTTGTGGAGCATTCTATATGATTACATTTTGAAGTAACAGATCACATGGGAACAGATGAGTAAGATGTTGGGAAGTGTTGGTGGTTAGCTACTCAGTGCTGTGTGGAAGGAAAGGCTGTATGTATGAAGGTATACCTGTGAATTGACACCTTGCTAATGACTAATTAATGTTAACAAGGCTAGTTGAAGAAAAGGTAGACTACCAAGTTTTAAATTTAGTTCTCCTAGGAGTACCTGTGACTCAATAACAGATTAGTTACCAAAAAAATATGATCTCTACAATACATGAATGATTGGGAGGCTGATACGCAATTGAGCTAAGTACTGCTCTAATTGCCACCATAGCTCCCTAGAATAAACTGCCTTTTGATGACCGGGACGAACTGAGTGAAATCGTAACGGACAGATACGGGGCAGACAGTTTAAATATATATATGCGAATGAAAGATCTTTAGTTTTTCTTGGAATTCAGTGCAAATTGAAGTTAAGGAACAATTTAAGACCTGTACAATTTTTATTATGCGAATTTTACTGTTTGTGGTGCTTTCCAGTTATATTTTGTTGTAAATCTGTGTATCCTCCATTCCTAGAGCTCCCCCACCTCCCCTACCTCCTCTTTTAATAAATGTTGCAGGATCTAATACAAGGGGTCAGCAAACATTTTCTAAGAAGAGCCAGATGGGAAAATTTAGGGCATGTATTATCTCTCACATATTCTTCTTTTTTTAAGACAACCCTTAAATATGTAAAAACCACTTTTAGCTCTCTGGGCAGTTCAGAAACAGGCTGTGGCAGGATTTGGCCCATGGGCTAAATATGCAGCCCCTGGTCTAACATGTTCTAGACACTGGGCCATAGTGAGTAAAATATCCTTGATATCTTAAAGTTTGCAGCCTAGTCAAAATAATGTTTCTTATATATGTTAACAGAAATATTTAGAAGAAATCTAGGGGTTTTGAAGTTCTAGAGTGGGCACAGTTCATATCTTTTCACATCTCATAACTTTGGGAGATCAGGACAGATACAGCAGTTAACATTTGGAGGGTGTCAGAAGAAGGTTTGGTTTCCTGAACCGTTCCCCTTTAATGCCACAGTAGGGATTTCTGGCAGAGGAACTTTTATTACTGTTTGTCTGGAGGTTCATTAAATTTATCAGTAAAGAAGAGAAATAAGCCCAGATAAAATTATAAAAATAGATAATTTAGGAGGAAAACATAGGTAGAAGGAAAGCATTTGGGAACAAAACTGTTTGAGAATAATACCCTGTATATAAATAATTTTGTATACCAATGCAGTATACATAGTAAAGAAAACTATTTTAAAGAGAATATCTATTACTGAGAGGTGGTAGAGATGGTATTCATAAAAAATACTCTGGCCATTGGAGGTTATACTTTATTGAAAAGAAACGTTTAACAGGGACTGCTAGAAGGGGCGTGTGTGTGTGTGTGTGAATATAGAAACCACCATGCTGGAGAGAAGAGCATAGTAGAGAGCTATAAAAGAAGAAAAGGACAAAAGTGATATTTTGATGGTGAAATAGGAAAGAATCTCAGCATGACAGGGAGCGTACATGATGGTTTTTAATACAAATTACAAAATTTACAGAGAATCAAACTGTAGTAGAACATATTCTTTAACCATCTAGATCTCTGTGGAAAGTTTTATTCTGCTAAAAGAGTATCTGATAAAATTTTTGATTTACTAATAATTGAGTATCATGAAAAGTAAAGGAAACAATAATGGGAACCATTATTGGATTTACTTTGCCATTGATTGGGGAAGTAGAAGGGATCGACTCTTGAGAGAAATGATCACTTTATTTCAAAAATTGTAATAATGATGAAAAATACACTGACCGTGAATTTTGTATTTTATAAAGCAAATACATCAGAAAAAATGTGGACATAGTCTCTAATACATATTAACTCATTTAATTTTTATCATAACTCTGTAAGGTAGGTACTGATATTGTTACAGGCTCCAAAAAAACTAATGGATTTACAAAGAACAGGAAATTCTTAAATTTTGATATAGTAGCCACAAATAATCTAAAAAGAAAGGAAACAGGCAAGTTGAGAGAAGTATCTGCTGATAAAGTACAGAACAGCTACAAAAGATGGAGAGAGGCAGACAACTGAAGATATGTGCCAAAAGCATCATGAAGACTGTTAGAAAGGAGAATGGTACAATTCAGATTGTGCCTACCAAAATGCTAAGGGATTTTGACAGATTCACTGGGTATATACTATGTGCCAAGTAATATGTAGAGGATGTGACATTCATTTTATTTAATTCTCACAAGAACCCAATGAAGTAGATACTGTTTTAATCCCCATTTTAGAAATGAGGAAATTTAGGTCAAGAGCGGTAAAGTGACTTCCCAAGATAATATTGATGGTAAGTGGTGGGGCCAGGACTGAAATCCAGGTCTTTCTGACTTCAAAGCCCAGCCCTTAACTAACCACTCTGTACTATATTGTTATTTTCAGACAAGTGCAAGGAAAGGATGGGTGACAAGGGGTGATGTTAATAGGTGATCAAGATTGACAATTACAGCAAACATCTAAGCCATTTAATGCTTATTGTGTGGCAGGCACTGTTATAAATCCTTTATACATATTAACTCATTTAATTTTTATCATAACTCTGTAAGGTGGGTACTGATATTATTCCCCTTTGTAAATGAGACTGAGGCACAGAGAGGTTAAATAACCTGTTTCAGGTTACATTACTAGTAAGTGATAGAGCTGCGATTACAGTCCAGGTAGTTGGGCTTCAGGATCCACATCTGGACTGTTCACTCTGTTATAGGACACCATTTCTTACTTTGCTTTCATTTTCATGAGCACAGAGAATGGTCTTTAAAGTAGAAAAGCCCAGATAAATATATTTACAAAAATAGCTGAAGCCCAGCATATGTGACATATAGTTAGTTACATTATGATTGTTCAAATCTCAAGACCTTTTGAATTATAAACCAGGACACTGTTTGAACAATCTGAACCATAGTTAATAATTTGTAAGTAACTGGATCAATTTGCAATTCTCAATTAAGCATGGATACCTAAACCGAGGAGACACAATTTATTTCACTCAGGAGGACTATTTTCTTCTGGAAAAGGTACTCTTCAGCCCATTAGGATGTGTGAAGTACCTGCTCCGTTGGCCACAAATCTATCATTTTAAGTGTTTACTCTTAAATATTTAATCATAAAATAATTACAGTTTGACTCTAAAAGCATTTTTTTTTTGAAAGAGGAGTGAACTTAAGGAACTATCTACTGATAACCCCAATGTGGTTTGTGAACATTTTTTATGAGTTCACATAAAAACGTCCATGTTAAACTCATAAATTGCCTTTTTGAAAGGACTATGTGGAGAGTATATTCATGGAATGCCTATTCCATAACATCTTGATTTCATTAAGAGCATTTGTCTGAATTTTCTTTTATCCTCATGGCTGAAATAGATGAGTAAATAGTAAATAGATTAGTAAATAATAAATAGTTTTGCAGCTAAACATCCCTACCCAAAGAGTAGTCTTTGGTGGTTTAGTTAGTAGTTACATCTTAGGAGTCTTTTATGCCCAAGTTTTTATCTTTGATTTGGATGAAGATTTAGTGAGTGGCTTGGTAAATTTAGTTGGCACCAAGAATCAGGGGCCAGAATGATCTTGACAAAGTGCAATCAAAATCATTATGAGATGAAATTTAACAGGGGTAAACATCAAGACTTCATTAGATTCAAATAATTAAATTGCATGAGTACTGGATTGGGAAAATCTAGCTGGACAGGATTTCAGTTAACACAAATTTAGTATGAGCCAATAGTGTGTTATTAAGGCCCAGATAGAGGAAAGTAATAGAACTCTTGGGCTACTTGTTAGAAATAAAACCTCTAACATATTTTATAGACTGTTGACAGACTAAGCTATATCCCACACTGGGATGGTGGGAGGTTTTAAAAACAACAGTTAAAAATAATCTGAGGAGAAAATAAGTGGAGATATGCTGCCTTCAGATGATGAAGGGCTGTCACACGGAATTTACTGTATTGCTGCAGAGGGCAGGCTAGTGGAAATTCTGAGGTGTATTTCAGTTTAAAATGATGCTGTGCTGATATAAGTGCTCTTGGATATATGCTATTGAATGTATTGAAATAAAAGGAGGTTGTCACACTGACCAGGAGTGTTTTTAAAAGACTTTCTTTGCTGAGTGGGAAGATTTGAGATTCTGTATCAATATCAAGAAACTATCATGAGAAACAGGTAACCTCTAATCCAATTAAGACTGGTTTCTATCTTAGTCAAAATACTGAGAATTTGTATTTTACCAGCAGGTGGCACTCATGCCTGCTGCCTCAGTTTTAATCTTCACCTTTGAGAAGGGGACTCACTTTTCATTAGAGTTAGAATATATAATGCCACCCAATATTTCTGCTTTCCTCTAAAGATAAATCAATATTTTTTCCTGTCTTAATTGTAGAGAATAACTTTTGGATCTTGTGATGTTTTTGACAGGCTGTGGCTTTTACTTATCTGAGAAAAATTTGAACCCATAATTATATTTATTTATATAATAACTATTAGGATTGAAAGGAATTAAGATGTTCTTTGTCTCATACATGCTGAACCTCACTTTTTTTCTGGCCAAGTCTTTCCCATCCCAAAGCAAAGTCAAACAGGAAACAGCCCTGGCCGGGTAGTTCAGTTGGTTAGAGCATCATCCCGATAGGCCAAAGTTGCTGGTTTGATCCCCAGTCAGGGCACAAGAAACAACCAATGAATGCATAAATAAGTGGAACAACAAAGTGATGTTTTTCTCTCTAAAATCAATAATAATAATAATAATAATAATAATAAAAACA